TTCCCTGGTTTCTCCTTTCTTGTAGATGCTGTCTGTAGATGCTCCAGACTTCTTTGATGCCTCAACCTTCTTTGATGCCTCAACCTTCTTTGATGCCTCAACCTTCTTTGATGCCTCAACCATCTTTGATGCCTCAACCTTCTTTGATGCCTCAACCTTCTTTGATGCCTCAACCATCTTTGATGCCTCAACCTTCTTTGATGCCTCAACCTTCTTTGATGCCTCAACCATCTTTGATGCCTCAACCTTTTTTGATGCCTCAACCTTCTTTGATGCCTCAACCTTCTTTGATGCCTCAACCTTCTTTGATGCCTCAACCTTCTTTGATGCCTCAACCTTCTTTGATGCCTCAACCTTCTTTGATGCCTCAACCTTCTTTGATGCCTCAACCATCTTTGATGCCTCAACCATCTTTGATGCCTCAACCTTCTTTGATGCCTCAACCTTCTTTGATGCCTCAACCTTCTTTGATGCCTCAACCTTCTTTGATGCCTCAACCTTCTTTGATGCCTCAACCTTCTTTGATGCCTCAACCTTCTTTGATGCCTCAACCTTCTTTGATGCCTCAACCATCTTTGATGCCTCAACCTTCTTTGATGCCTCAACCATCTTTTTCTCCTTGCGATAAGCGCTTCTCAAACTAGTAATTTTCCTCAAGACTGACCTCTTAGTGGCACCAGGCTCAAGTTCCTCCAACTTCTTTACTAATTTGCTATAGGCAACATCTTTCTTTGTGCGGTCATGATACTCTTCACTTTTAACCTGCCACAGGCAAGGTTCACAGCGATAGAGTTCAGTGAATTCAACAATCACTTGGTTTTGTTCACGTGCCATCTCAGACTGCACTCACCGCTACCACCTGTAGAAGTGTTGTTCACGTGCCATCTCAGACTGCACTCACCGCTACCACCTGTAGAAGTGTTGTTCACGTGCCATCTCAGACTGCACTCACCGCTACCACCTGTAGAAGTGTTGTTCACGTGCCATCTTAGACTGCACTCACCGCTACCACCTGTAGAAGTGAGAAGTTTTGTTTACGTGTCATCTTAGACTGCACTCACCGCTACCACCTGTAGAAGTGTTGTTCACGTGTCATCTCAGACTGCACTCACCGCTACCACCTGTAGAAGTGAGAAGTATCTCAGACTGCACTCACCGCTACCACCTGTAGAAGTGAGAAGTATCTCAGACTGCACTCACCGCTACCACCTGTAGAAGTGAGAAGTTGAGAACTGTACAGTTACGAATCTCCACACACAGTTGTTCAGTTACTCCTTTCAGTTAAAAATATGGAACATTGAATTTGTCGCAGTTTAACTGTACAGTTCTATTGAACTGACGAAATGAGCAACTGAGATACGCACACACGTGCAGTTTTAACTGACAGTTTTAACTGAACAGTTATAACTGTCAGTTATAACTATCAGTTATAACTGCACGTGTGTGGCCGGCCTATAATGGGGTGAGGTTTAGCTCTCGGACCCGGCTTCTTAACTGATATAATCACACCTCTCTATTGTCTATTGCTTTATGACATTCTTGTTATAGATTCAGCTACTCGGAACAAGTTCCAAGTAGCACGGGCTATGGTGAACCCGTAACTTACCTGGCTCTGTGTCTGTGTTCTAGGATCGGTCTGTGTCTATTGCTTTATGACATATGTTTATACAGCTACAAGTGGACATGGCTTCCACTACCTCGGGTCCTGGTCCACTCCACTCGCTGACTGCATGTGGGTACTCTGTTGCGTCTCTCAATCCTGCGTCAGTCTATCTACCTGGCATATTACCTGGAGTAATGTGTATGCTGTGATCATGTCTCCGCCTCTTTCTTCTCTCTAGTAACGTCATACTCAGTACTTGTAGTCACGTGAGGTTCAGTTTTTTAATGGATCCTGGTGGTGCTCACTCCTGCACACTTCCCCAGCACTGGTCTGACGTAGGTGGTGCATAGCGTTGTAAGTGATTTCTTGCTGAGAGTCCTGACGTACTGGAGTTGCATATACTGCTGATGTTGCTAAGTTTATGTGTGCAACTTAACCCGTTGCAGTATAAAGGCCTCTACTTCAGTTGATTTAAATATATGAATGAGTATATTGATCGTTCTGAGAACTGAGGGAACTTCAGGGAACTGAAAGAGTTCCCTTCCCATAGCTCATGGTAAGCCTTACCCACATTGTTTACCCTGGAATACGACCCGCCAATCGTTTAACTATCAGGTACCCAATCACTGCTGGGTGAACAGAGGCTACAGTTAAGGGTTAGCGCCTCGTCAATCCTCCCCGGCCAGGATACGAACCCAGGACAAAAGGAAACGCCAGGCGAGCGTCTTAACCATTACGCCACGGAGACTGTTGTTCCTAGCACCCGTCTTGCGTCCGGCCTCCTGTGCCCAATACCCGTCTTCAACATACTGCAATTGGTGGAGTTGAACTCTATCAACCACTTGTTAGACCATTCTTCCCGAGGTCCTCACAGTGAGAAGACGATAGCTAACAATTCACAGTTTCCTTGCCTCACTTACGCATCAAAGGCGTCATCGGATTGCTAGGGATTTTCGGCCCAACGCGTCGAAGATGGGCTGCAAATAGCATTCAAATACCCGAGGATGAAATGTCCCGCGTTGTGGACTGTTGACATAATGTGTGGTGGGATCCTGGGGGCGAGGGGCACAGCTTGACTGGACGCTGAGCTTACGGTGCCTTTTGGTAGCTGGACTGAGTTCGCTTGATGCTCTCTAATTGGCTTCGCTGGAGGCGGTCACGTGTTTATGGGGTCTTGAGGTAGCGCGGGGAATACACGGGTATTTATATTGCCTCCGCCAGTCACTGCAAGCATTGAAATTGAAATTGAAATAAGTTTATTGAGGTAAAATACACACAAAGGGATGAGGTAGCTCAAGCTATTCTCACCCCGTTCAGTACATCGTGTTAATACATACATAATGCAAGCATTGAACGGTCGAAAATAAATGTTTCAATATACATATATCTGGCTTTTAAGTCCAGGTTTCTTTTTCCTTTCAGTCCGAGCTTTATCTTTTGAAACTCTTAGGTGGGGTATACTAGGAAATACTTGTGCAGGCGATGTCACAATAACGTGGCTAAAGTATGTTGACCAGACCACACACTAGAAGGTGAAGGGACGACGACGTTTCGGTCCGTCCTGGACCATTCTCAAGTCGATTGTGAGAGTGGTCACAATCGACTTGAGAATGCTCCAGAACGGACCAAAACGTTGTCGGCCCTTCACCTTCTAGTGTGTGGTCTGGTCAACATAGTAAATACTTGACGTGTATTGCGTATGTCTGAAACATGTCCCCTCTTCTCCTTTCTACCAGTGTCCCCGTAGTTCAGCAGATCTCTGTACTTCCTCAATCTTTGCTTTGTGCTTCCTGAGGCGGGAGCTTCACACAGTGTGCTTCCTTCGTTGTCCTGTAGCCGGGGACGGAAAACTTGCAACCCGTTCTCGCAAATTCGTAAAGTCAATATTGACTTATTAACTACGTGCATAGGTGATATACTAAACATAATAGATACCTTTAAAAAGATTCATAGAAAACACCGACCTTACCTAACCTTGTTAGTATCTTAAGATAAGCATCTTATTGCTTCGTAATTACAATTATTACTTAACCTGTACCTATTATAGGTTAGGTAATAATTGTAATTACGAAGCAATAAGATGCTTATCTTAACATACTAAGTAGGTTAGGTAAGGTCGGTGTTTTCTATGAATCTTTTTAAGGGTATCTATTATGTTAAGTATGTCACCTATGCACATATTTAACAAGTCAATATTGACTTATTAAATTTGCGAGAACGGGTTGAAAACTTGATAGGTTAACGAGAGTCCTCGCTAGGTCAACTACTGATGATCTTGCTCAGGACGCAGCCCACAACAGTTGTCTAACTCCCAGGAACCAGGGGTCAGATTCACGAAGTAGCTACGCATGTACTTACGAACGTGTACACCTTTCTTCAATCTTTGACGGCTTTGGTTACATATATTAAACAGTTTACAAGCATGAAAACTTGCCAATCAACTGTTGTTATTGTTATGAACAGCCTCCTGGTGCTTCGGAGCTCCTTAACTGTTTAATAATTGTAAACAAAGCCACCAAAGATTGAGGAAAGATGTACAGGTTCGTAAGTACTTGCGTAACTGCTTCGTGAATCTGGCCCCAATTTATTCCTAGGTGAGCAGAGGCACCAGGTGCAAAGAAACGTTGCCAAAGGTGACACACTGGGTGGTGTGTTGTGACACCAGAGGTTAAAGCCCCTGATTCATGCCGATAATGAGTTAGGTTACATTAGTCCACACTGACAACCTCTTCGTGTCTGTACTATGTATGTCTATGTATATGTATCTCTGTGTACCATGTATCTTTGTCTATGTATGTATATCTATGCACTATGTATCTCTATGTATGTATGTATATCTGACTATTTCTGTATCGGCTCCTCACTATTTCCCCCCTACTTGGACTGGTCGGTATAGTGACAACCTCACTTCTTACAGGGTCGGCGTTCGATCCCCGATGGTCCCAAGTAGTTAGGCCCCGTTCCCTGACTCCGTCCTGATATCCCTCCCAAGTGATATATAATCACTTGTGTTTAACTGTGTCTCTCTCACTGCCCCGCTCCTGTGCCAGGTAAGTTCACGACGGGCTCACCATAGCCCGTGCTACTTGCCCCGCTCCTGTGCCAGGTAAGTCCACTACGGGCTCACCATAGCCCGTGCTACTTGCCCCGCTCCTGTGCCAGGTAAGTTCACTACGGGCTCACCATAGCCCGTGCTACTTGCCCCGCTCCTGTGCCAGGTAAGTCCACTACGGGCTCACCATAGCCCGTGCTACTTGCCCCGCTCCTGTGCCAGGTAAGTCCACTACGGGCTCACCATAGCCCGTGCTACTTGGAACTCTTTGTACCTAGTAGCTGAATCTTAAAGAAGAAGAACAACTGTGTCTCCTGGTAATCACTTGACCTTCTCCCCCTGCAGGTGGGGCGCGCGGGCGTGGTCCTGGTGCTGGCGTGGGCGTGCTGGGCGGGCATTGGCCGCGTCCTGGCCAATCACAGCCAGTGTGACGTGCAAGCGCTTCGCTGCGACGTTATCTGCTCCTTTCCTGACCTCGACCTCCACTGTAGCCGCTGTATCAGGAGGTCAGTGGGTCAGTCAGGACACGTGAGGTCAGTACTTGTTGGCGAAGGTCATGTGGGGTCAGCAGCTGTAATCAAAGGCCATATGGGGTCATATGACACGTGTCTGAGGGCCGTGTCTGATGGCCGTGTCTGAGGGTCGTGTCTGATGGCCGTGTCTGATGGCCGTGTCTGAGGGTCGTGTCTGATGGTCGTGTCTGATAGTCGTATCTGATGGCCGTGTCACTCAGAAGTGTATGGAAGCCGACCCGTGGGCACCTGGCACTGACCAATCTGCCCGTGTCTTCAGGTCAGACATCATCGACCCGAATGCGATTTGCCGCAATACTGTAGGACTTGGTAATATGAATTATATTAATGAATCATGTAGGTGTTGATCAATTTCTGATCCCTTTTTGTACCCATACATATTAGGTCTATGTTTCCCGTGTGTGACTCTGTTCTTATAGCTGTGTGCCCGCATGGCGAGGTTGAGACACAGACTCTGGGTCCCAGACTCTGGGTCCCAGAGTCTCATCTTTCAGTCGCATTTCGGCTGATGGTTGTGTCGATAGTGCTTTTTTGTCATACTTGGATGGAAGTATGGCCTCCATCCTTGACGCCTTGGATGGAATAACCTTCAGTTACTTCCTCCTTCAACTCCTTCAACTCACCCCAATTCACTACTCATTTACTGAAGACTTGATTTCCAGCATCCTACTGGGCCATCTGAATTTCTTGTTTCTATCCATGTTTTCTTGTCCTATCCCTGTTCATCTTCACATGTTTGGTTATATCCACTTTGTTAATGACTCTAGGAATATTATATATAGTAATCATGTCCCTATTTATAGTTCAATTTTCCAGTAAAGTGATGTTTCTTCGTTGCTTACTCTTCTGGGTGCAGGGACCAGACATGTTCCTAACCATAGCACTTTCTCTTCATTTGTTGAGGTGAGGAACGCTCACTTGGACTACACATTCTACCACAAGTTGTATACAATGTCTCGAAATCTTCCTAGTCCAGGTGGCTGAAGGCTACAGGAATGTTCGACAGTTTTGCACACGCCGCTGATGTTGTTCTGTTGACATGTGTCTGGGGTGATAGACGTCGGGTTTTGTTTAGTAACATCTATTTATTGTAATGACTCAAACATTTTCCTATTTCTCATAGTCTACTCCGGCTTATTATGCAGTTCTCTTGAACGTGTGCAGAGAGGGATAACAAAGTCAGCTCCGGACATTTGGAATTTCCCTTTGAAGACATTCTAAAAGTTTAATTAATATTCTTTTGAGAAGCGAAGAACAAGATGGTACATGATTAAGATATACAAATGGCTGGAAGATATATTGTCCTGATGACTTCTTGGTTTGAAAATAGGGCTGTAGATTTATTTAACATATTGCCAAGTAACATAACACACGTGGGGGGTGGGGGTCACAGGATTGTTTCAAGTGAAGGCTAGACAAATATTTGAGTAGGTGTGGTAGGGTCTAAAGAGGTTGCCTGAAACCTTGCATAGGCCTTTCGAAGTTTCCTCTCTTATTATGTTCAAATATGCACGATTAATACTGTTGCCTCTTCTTCCCCAGACGACCCATGAGGTTCGGTAAAAGAAGCAGACGAGTACTGCAGGAATTATCGGACGGGCCGTCGGGCGAGCCATTAGCGGAAGGACTCTCCAGCCAGGGATCCACGAGTCTTCGCACGACTAACACCCACGACAGGAAATCCACTTCGGCCATCACCACGGAGCCCAAGGAGAGAGCAGCGAGACGTGGTAGGCAGGACGTCCGAGCTCTCAGTGCTGGCCCTAGTCACTTATTCAGCAGGATTCTTTGGAATGACTCCGTCAGGAAGACCGACGCACAGAGAGAGCTGCGTGAGTCCTACAGTAGCGACCCCAACACTAGACCCCACCCTACAGGCTGGCGCCAAAACCTGGATTTCAACGTCGATGATTATGTCGACATGGAAGAACACAGGACCAGTCGACGGAGGCGTGGAAACACCTACAGCACCCTCTCTGACAGTGTGGGCAGCAGCAGCAGCAGCGAGGAGAGTCACAGTGGCAGGAGCATGAGGCTCCCCGCGACGAGGAGGACCAAGAGATCCGAGGTGCTGGAGGTAGTGGAGGGCCTCATGGATATGTTGGGTCTGGAGGAGCTGCCTGTAGATCCCACACTCTACGGCTGCCACGAGCTCCGTCCTGTACTGGCCTAGCACCGACGTCCCGATCTCGTGTGCTCAACGTGTACTAAAGTTATAGTGTTGAATGCGTTGTTTGTACATTGAAAATAATATAGAATTCCCATTCACATTAATACAAATTCAATAATTTCCACAAAGCCTCATTAGCGAAGTTCTTGCTGGCCAATAAAAGCTTTAGTTACACAGGATTTAGGGCTAAATATACAATTGGTTGATAATGTGGTTGTTAATAAAGTTCACTGAGGAATCTGGAGATGTAGAGTAACAACTTTGGAGGCGTGTTAGTTGTCTTTAACTCTTAGACACTGACCAGCCAGCCTCTTGGACTAGTCAGTACAGCACAGGCCTCGCTCTTTGCAGGGTCGGCGTTCGATCCCCGATGGTCCAAATGATTGGGCACCGTTCCTTCGCTCCGTCCTCATATCCCATCCAAGTATTATTGGCACCTTCAGTATAATACCAAGTATTATTGGTATTATTTGGTCAACATTATTGGCACCTTCTCCACACAATTACCACACCTTCTAGAGACACTGCAGGTTAACAGTTTACATGGATACAACTCGTATCATACTCAAGACGATACCCAAACTAATTTTCAATCCTATATACCCTTATTCAACCTAACCCATCCGAGCCTAACGCAGCCTAACCTAAACTAATCCATCCTAACCTAATGATATATACAGTTCTGACACTCTGAAAACGAGCTATGTCGAAGGGTCATGTGTACGCTTTTAATCCCTCCCCATTTTACATGTAAGCTACATAATTTGATCACATATTAAACCGCTTAGAATAACATTTCAGGAACCTCAGTTGCTGAAATTATTACAAATCAAAATAGGCTAACTTATATCTTGAAAACTGTTTTTTTTTGGAGAAGAAAGTACTGAAGCATCCACGAACTTTTGGAGAGGAGAATACGAGGCATTTATAGACTATTGGAGAGGAGAGTACGGGGCATCCATGGCCTGAAGCGGTTTCGGAGATCCCTTTTCATATACGGGCCCAAATTCATACTGAGGGTCACTTCCGTCACAATGACTAGCTGTACCGATAACCAGGGGGGTCACTTTCCTCATTACGCCAATAAATGAGGGAGATTTTATGAGTTCCACTCATAAAATGGACTGTGGCGTGAATGAGAAGCCTCAGTATGAACGGGGGCCATGAGGCTGGATAGGAAGGGGTCTCTGACACATCATTTAGCTTCGGAACCTTCAGTGTTTACACATTACGGTACGTACAGAAGATCTTCTCTTCTATAAAGAGAAGATCTTACAGCAATAGGTTCTCTAAGAGACGTATCAAGACTGTTCTTTTGATGCGACTCACAACTCCAAATTGGCGCGAAATCGAGTTTCTATCTTTGTCTTTATATTTCAAGTCTGTGCCAACTGTCAAGGTTACTACTTGTGTCTTGACAGCAGCTGTTCAGCCCTAACACGAGGCATGAGGAAATATTACTCATCGTCTACATACTCATCAAGAACTCATACTCTGTGAATTATGAACTCGGGAAATTCATCGAACAGTGAAACTGGCTCCTAATGAATTTGTTAGGAGTTTGAATTTGAATTTGAATTTGTTATGGAAAAGTTGATAACTATTCCCAAGTACGGTGTGTTAACCTCATGTTAACCTCATGTTAACTTCATGCTAACGTTATGTTAACCTCATGTTAATCTCATGTTAACTTCATGCTAACGTTATATTAACCTCATGTTAATCTCATGCTAACCTCATGTTAATCTCATGCTAACCTCATGTTAACCTCAAGTTAACTAGTAAGAGTCTGGAGGAAGGGGCATCTCCAAGTTCCATCTTGAGTAATCAGAAAGTTCCATCTTGCGTAATCAGAAAGTTCCATCTTGCGTAATCAGAAAGTTCCATCTTGCGTAATCAGAAAGTTCTTTACAGACTGAAGATAACAAACTGACGGGCAGGAAAGCTATGGTGTCACTCGACGCAGTTCAACGTCACTCAGTGATCACGAAACAATAATTCTTGTATTTTCTGTAACTGGCATTAAATTGGTGTAATATAGGAATAAAGGGAAAACAAATTATCAGCAAATAAGCTCATTTTATTGTTTAATTCTCCTTGTAATTAGCTTGTAGCTGTTCCTGATTTGTCTATCGTAGGGTTATCTATCCCAGGTTTATATATCCCAGAGTTATCTATTCCAGATTGTTATCCTAGGGATATCTGTCCTAGGGCTGTCTATCCCATGTTATCTATCCAAAAGTTATATCTGCCAGTTTATCTATTACAGGATTATCTATCCCAGGTTATCTCTCCCAGTTTATCTATTCTACGGTTATCTGTCAACGGCTACTATCCCAGGGGTTATCTATCCCAGGAGTTATATATCTCAGGGGTTATCTATCCCAGGGAAGTTGATTGGCAAGTTTTCATGCTTGCAAACGGTTTAATAAATGTAACCAAAGCCGTCAAAGATTGAGGAAAGATGTACTCGTTCGTAAGTACTTGCGTAACTGCTTCGTGAATCTGGCCCCTGTGTGGACGGACTGCCTGGGGCCATCTCAGAACGGAATGTATACTAACCATCCCCAGTTACAGCAAATAGGAAAAGGAAATAGGAAAACTTACCGCCATCTTGGGAAGTGAACACTTGCGGATACGCGATATCTCAGTTCCTCCTGTATCTGAATCTGAAACCACAACTTTATCTTTGGATATGACATTGCTGTTAAATTCCCAGAATCCCGATAGGCAACATTTTTTTTATTTCTTGAGTACCTGTTGATAAGGCCGCGGCTCACCATTCAGTCAGGTCTACAGATTCGCCAAAAACATAAATTCTGTCCGTTTTAGACCCTCATTGTTAATACCACCAGTCTATGCAAGTTTCGCCATTAAAATTCCATTCTAAGTTTTCGCCAGTATGTCAGCAGTCAATGAACACAGACACGGTGTTCCTTGATCTACATATTAAAATATGTCTATCATGTCCTGCAGCTCCTACTCATCCGCTACAGATTTGTAACAATTTAGATAAAAAAACAAGTAAATCCTATAATCTAATCTAATCGTATATACTCTGATTGTGTGGTGATTGTACTGGGTAGACAGGCAATTGATAAGAAACAGATGGCCATGAAAGGCAGTTCTTCAAGACGGATACACATCCTAGCTTCTGTTCGCTCTCCTAAAATGAAAATTCATATAGTATCTATTTAGTGGGAAGTGAGTGGTGCTGCCCAATAAACTCGCCCCTCTGGACAAAATTTAAAATTTAGTGTTCACTATATAACAGCCTGTTCCCGTGTTTACCATAGACACAGCCTAGTAATATGAAGTAGCCTCCTCTCAAGGTAGATTTATATTATTTTGCATTGCTGCAAATCAACATCACTTGCAGTTCAGTTCGAAGTTAGTCACAGATCTACGTGGAAGTCCGCCTGATCAACTGGGCTCCCATCACCTAATAAATTTCAGACCAGTTCATCAGTATGCGGTCCCAGCATGGAACCCGCACCCGGAAAAGCACACAGCCAAAACGCAATATGTGAGTGCAGGTTGGAGTATAAACAGTGTATTTTGTATGAACTAAGTGCAACTTGCATAAACTATGTGTACCGTGTATAAGCTGCATGTACCGTGTATAAACTGTGTGTACGATGTATAAACTGTGTCAGTGAGTATATTACAATGAGTAACATTTAACACTAATCTAACAGCCGTGAATATTTTTGTTTAAGTTTCAGTTTGGTAATTATTTGTCATAGTGTGTAGGAATATATCCATGATTATATCATTCAGGGCTTTGTTGATTTCAAACGATATATTTAAAAAATTTCAGGTAATTAACGTCAGCTTGGTTAACACGTCGTCAAACAAGACCATTAACAATTGCAATTCAGCAAGAGCCGCGTTCCATGTAATGTTATTATTATGTTAATTTTTTAAACTATGTTAATTATTTAGTTAAACGCATACAGCCGATAGACAAACTTAGGAGCTTGAAGCCATAAATGTAGGGAGTAATGGTGACGTTAATATTGGTGTTTAGGATGGGGGTTGTGGGTAGGAGGTTAAGGGTTGGGGTACCGTAGTTGAGGTGGTGAGTGGATGGGTAGGGCAGGTCAGTTGACCTCAGCCACCCTTCCCCACCAGTGCTCCAAGTTTCTGTCTCGCTACATACACTGTACGGTTTAATATGCTCATATTTTCTCTTTATTCGGTGTTTGTGTGGCGATTAATATTTTTGGCGATTAGAAATTTTGTGCATTTTTAAGAAACTCGCACCACGGAAGAAATTTTTCTTTGATTAGTTAGTTTTGCCTAACTACATAACTTGCCCTCCTAAAATTGGCATTGTATTCGTTAAGTGAATACTGATTAACTATTTAACAGAAATCTCTAGTACTTGGTGCTAAATACTATCTTTAGGGAGACTTGCTTTCTCTTCGTGGTCTTCAACAGACTCTTAAACTATATAAAGATTGCGTTAATATTCTTTCATTTGTATAATTTAAAGCCTTCTCTATTTAGCGGCTAGAGTACTGTAAATTAGAAAAGCTGTCCAGACGGGCGCTCATAACGCTAGCATCCTTATCGTAACCTTTTATGGCATTAGTCGTAGTCTCGTATGTTCAGTATAAACACATATTTCAGGGTGACGATGATGCGCTACCACCAATTACCTACTGGTAGTCCAACCAGGAGACACGTAAGTACTTTAAAATTATATAATTACTATTGGCTAGATAAAAGCCTAACCTTTACTTTTGCTATGTTAGTACTATACAGCTAAACTTTTCGCATGTGCTTGTGTGCCTACCGATAGGCAGTTTACCGAATGACTAATGTTCAGACTTGTCAAAACACAAATTGTCAACTAAAATGCCAAATACTAGTTAAAATCCGTTGATTTGTATCGGACAAATTTAGCATAAAGGCAAGACTTGACTTTTTAAGTCAGATGTAAAATTTTAAATTGTTAATACTGTAAGAATGACCATATTAAACTAACTTTCTAGCGCCTAGTAATCTCAAACGTTAGTGGCAAAAATAACTGGTAGCTTGGAAAGCTTCTCAAATTTTATTACCCGCGCTTGATGCATCATTAAATCTAAGTTCTGTCACCCACAGAGTATGCTGGACGTTTCCTTGGCACCAAAATGGCGTCCTCGCAGTGCCTCCATGAGTGTCGTCGACGTCACAAAATTTTCTCCACAGTTCACATCTGGCACGTCAGTATCTCGTAGTGGCTCGGTCAAACATTATAGTACGTGACTGATAGCAGTTGCCTGCCCTTGGTTAGGGGGGGGGGGTGAAGCAATGACGGTGGAAGACTCCAAAGGTCCGTTTAAGATATCTAGATGCAGGCACTTAAACACTAGGTACTATGCTTAAATGTATCAAGGATGCTGATATCTTATTTCCGTCGTTCAAGAGTACTAGTCTTGAACAAGTCTCATTTAAGACGGCCTGTATTTTACGGTAATAAAATGTGCTAGAATATTAATATAGCGGGCCACAGTTTCAGTCGGTCAGCGGGAAAGTACTGCTATAACAGCCTAGTCTAACTTGTTACATTTTTTTTTTAACGGCAGATAAAGTAAATTGAAATAGTTCATAATCATGGGTAGGGTGACTACAATTTTTTTTAACAGATTCTTTCATAACTACTTTTTGACCTAAAGTTTTCACTACAGAAAATTAGCCTGCCGATTAGTTTTAAGTTTGGCCTAGAGTATACCGTTTATGATTATACTTTGGTGTCCACCAGCAGCGGACTGATGACCAGAAGGCCGTCTCCGACCCCCTGTACCACGCCATGCTTCGTCTCGCCTCGTATGGCTTTCTCAACACAGTTCGCCTATGACTCTCCCTTGCAGGTAATTAAATTTTAGCCTTTTAAGGCTTACGATTAACCTAGAATTGTTGTAAGTCTTGTTCCAGCAATAACTTGGCAAACTATGAAGTGGCCTTAATTTAATTCCTCTACAGATCTTGAGTTCTGGCTCTCCTCAAGCACTTGTTAAGCTGAAGAGTAAATTTGGTCTTAAACGTTTATCGCGCCGCTGGAAGATCTTCCTCATCCTGGTGTTCTCAGTCCTGGCTGGCACACTCTTCCTCGTTAGGACTCTGGGCGGTGAGCCACACCATGTCTTTCCCTCTAGAGCTGTGCTTGGGGGCTCTCCCCATCTTCCCAGTAAAGTCTGGCAGCACTGCCTTTGAAAGCAATAATTTAGCCGAAGCAGCTAGTTCTAAGAACCTATAATTTTTCTAGGTAGTGCACTTTGATAATTTACCTTGGTCTACGCAATATCTGCTACTTGTTCACTTAAAGTAACCTTCAATACAGTAAGCCAAAAATTGAGTTAAAATGGTCTTAAAGTATAGTCCTGATTTTTGGGTTAATGGTGTAAAAATAAATTTCAGATAACGTACAGACGAAGCAGAACCCTGAAATTACCTGTGCTGAGGACGACCTAAACTGTCTGAATGGAGACACGTCACATGGCCACCCAAGTTTCCAGGTTAGTATTTTATTTACTTGCGCTAAAATGTGACTTTGGCAGAGTTTATTAAGAGCATGCTTATTAGATTTGTTTCTCGGGTAGGAAGTTTACAACGTATATTTTTAGATTTTTCTTTTCTAAAGCAAAAAAGATCTGGATAATTAGGCTAGTCAGTTAATTTAAAGGACTCGCCGCACTAATGTAAAATGGCGCTCAAATTAGTTCGCATAAAACTTTATATACTATAATTTTAACTTTCTTGCTTCGCTTTTAGATTAATGAATGGTCTTTCTTTTTTTCAGCGGTTCTTGAGAGCAGTTTCTCCGCCCAGCCAGCCTACTCACTACCACAGTCTATCGGAAGACTTGAACGAGCCGGAGGTAGACGCTCTTCAATCTGAAAACATTGAGACAAAAGGGTTAGCGAGTAATACTATTGAAGAGCAAAGCACTGGGTATGCTAGCGATCCAAACTCTTATCTCCAACGAGACGCAGAGTTTAGTGAAAATCGTATGGAGGAAAGTGCTTATCGCAAACAAAGACTTCAAGTAGTCAATGGACAGTATACTGAACGCGTACAGCAGTCTGCTACACGGCTATATGCTCTGAATTCTGAAGAACCTACTCGGCAGACAGAATCCGTAAATGATCCACAACGGTACGGAACAGACTCGAGCTCACTGGTGCAAGAAGACTTTGGGTCACAACCAATAGTACAAGGCGAGACGGCTAGTCTTGATCAACACGCAGCACAGGTACAATATCAAGGGGATACGCCACAGAATATTCAGGATGAGACTCCTGGTAACATTGTTAATAACTACGAAGTGAATCAGAACTTGCGGAACACTGAATGGGAAGGCCATGAAAACCAGGCCAGAGATGAAACTGGCGAGATAAAACAGTGGGAGAGTTCTAGCCAAGAGAACCCTGCTCCCGGGAACAAAGACTGGGAGAGGTCAACTCAAGATAACTCTGCACCAGGTAGCCAAGGTCAGTGGAATAGGTCGCCCCAGGACAACTCTGCCCCGGGTAGCCTAGGTCAGTGGAATGCGTCGCCCCAGGACAACTCTGGCCAAGGTAGTCAGTGGAACAGGTCGCCCCAGGATAACTCTGCGTCGGGTAGCCAAGGTCAGTGGGATAGACCTCATCAGGGTAATCCTGCCCCTGTGAACCAAGCCCTCTGGGATAGAGCGAACCAGGAAAATGCTCGCCCTGGGAACAAAGCCCAATGGGAAGGTCAACCTACTGACTCGCGAAGGTACACAAACGAACCTAGACACCCGCAGTACGATCACCAGCCCAGGCACATCAGACGGGCGAATGAAATGAGACCTCAACGCCTGCAGGAACAACACTTGCAGGGAAGGCTACAACAACAACAACAACACTACATGAATGCCATGAGAGTAGAGGATCTGGTCAAAGATGGGCAGATTTATCCTCAGGAAGGCGCAGAATCCTGGCGCGATGCTAGGATGCAGGAGAGGTTCAGGGTCCCTCCTGGTGTGAACCCTGCAAGATATAGACGCTTGGAGCTATAATGCAGGTATAATTAAAGGTTTTTGAGAACTTTTTAGCTATTGATGTTGGTAAACCTGATTCTACCACAAGATTAGTGGCTTTTTAATGTGCAGAGTGTCTTTAAATGTAATAATTTAATCTAGTTTTAACGAATGAATGTAATTTAAATAAAACTTTTTTAAGAATAAGTCTTTCTAGTGCAAAATCGCACAAGTTTGAATGCGAACAGCGCAGAGCTCGCTTGTGAAATCCTCTTAAGTGTGGTCCTTGTATTTACTAAAAATTCACCACTACTGGTCTAGGGTCGACTTCTTGGCCTCTGGCTACGGTCACCACGGCAGTCTTTTGATGTACTTGTTTCTTGGCGCTGGAGGGCCATTAATACTACCACAAGGAGTCTGTACGTAATTGACTGGAACGTTTTGATGCTCGTTAACCGTTTAATAAAGCTGCCAAAGATTGAAAACGTAAAGGTTGGGAAGTACATGCGTAGCTCCTAGCCTAGTGTCTGGGGGACACCATAATACAGCCTCTCCCCAAAATCCCTTGTATAATACCCAACATTTGAGCTCCTTGACCCCCCCTCCCCCATTCTGACGCAAAGGGAATGAATGTTTACATTATGATGCTGCTCTATATATTATATATATAATTATACAAAATATATTTATATACATGCCGGTCGTGTAAACTAAAATTCATAACTAGTGTGTGAAAGTAAAATGGATTATATTTTTAACTGTAAACATGACCCTCGAATAGTTTAGTTTATACATGGTATAAACATTTAAAAGATTGTATAGTACACAGCCAACACTAAAATTTAAAAAAAATTGACGTAAAATAGTTTGTCCTTCAGCTAGTAAGATTAAAACTAGAGGGCTAATAAAGCTACATTTTGACAGTAGTCATTATATACATTGTAAAGCTCCTGTGCCTCTGATAAGAAACGGAACACAAACTAGTATATTTACAGATGGAGTGATGTTTTGGTTCCACTACTGCCAACCGTATGACGTAAGCTTCTAGCTTATCTTAAAATAAGACGGTATAGTCGAACGGTTAGGTTACATTCTATGAATGTAACTTAACCATTAACTAATGCAACCTAGGAATGAATCTAGGTTACATTAGAGGTTGGGCTAATACTGGTTAATTGGCTTCTTGTGAATTAGGTCAGACCGGCGCCATGGAAGCTTTTTCCTACCACAGACGTGGCCACACATTTACAGAATGACTTCCGGGGCGGGTTGTGCAGTAATGGTTCCTCCAGCTTACCAGTTAAGTACCATAATCCCTTAATGTGTAATAGGCCACCATTCTCGGTGTCTTCATAGGATTCCGATACTGTAGCCGAGGGTAGATGTGTTTATGGTGTAAATCCTACAGCTAGAGAACTGTAATGGGAGAGAATATATTGGATTGTCTACTAGAGACCAGTAGGCCTACCTCTGGACGTGCCTGTGTAATTCATACTTCTACATATTGAGTATCGAAAGCAGAGTAAATGTTAGTCTTTGCGAGAAGTTATAAATGAATACTGTAAACTTGTAGTATTTCGTGACTATCAGTGTAGTAGGCTAGTCACTACTTTAAACAGGTTCACCTTTCTACCAACTGATACAACATGGTGTTTTGATTCATTAATACAGTAATTCAACTCTAATTATCCCCAAACGTAGCTTCCCAAATTAGCTAGCTAGCTCAGCATCGGTAAATGGTGCTACGTAGCCTTCCCGGTTTGGTGCCTTCTTTTGATAATTACTTACTCAGCATCGGTAACATGCTTGTAAGTTAACTCCAAAGCTGTGGATTGGTGGGTACATGCATACCAGCTAATATGAAGATGGAGAGACGTAAACGAATTATAATATTGACTCTTTATTGGTGTAGGCTTTAGAGTTGGCGATAGATGTAATAATTTTGACTCCTCACCATCACGCTTTTTGACGCTGGTGACAAAAGACTGAGAAACAAAAAAGATTATAAACTATAGTAATTGATAGTAGACACGTACAGGTAAATTTTGAAATATGATGCTAGGAGTTTGCAGGTTGGATGTGAGGGGATAGTTTGGTACAGTATACGTGATAACATGGGGGTTGAAGCAGACTATTGAAACAAACTTAGAGGTGGTCTTAGAGAATGGGGGACTTTGAGACATTAACTGAAGGCTCTGAAAGATTAGGTACTGCATGCATGATTAGGCGGAGAGAGGAGCCTCGGCACAGGGGCTTGGGGTACCGAAAAGCCCATTCCACTTCAGGAAGGTCTGGACTTGGCAGGCGAGAGGTTTGTAGTTGGTCTTGAGGGTATCCATAACGTATTGCAGCTTCTCCTTCTCACACTTGGAGCATCCATAGCACAGCTGCTGCACGCGCTGTTGGTCACTCATCAGGTCTGGGGAGATGGGTACACTCAGATTGAACCCATTCGGGTAACCTACAGCTTTGGGTTAAATAAACTTGAATATGGCTAAGTTGAGCTTAAACTGAAGTTTTAAAAAGGGCTTTAGGAAGATGAGTTTGTTTATAGTTCAGGATGAAGTTGGTGAGTTTATGTATAAGATTGGAGGCCCTCTAGATCCTTGACAGCACCTGTACAGAGGAGCAAGACAAGTTTAGTGTTGACTCCCACCATTGACAGTATAATTTTGTGCTCAGGCACAGGTATTCGGTGAAAGCCTGAGCAGTGGCGATAGAACTCAACACTGCGTAAGGCTTAATGTGTGAGACATTGAGCATGTCATAGACGCCTTTGTTGTGCGTGAGTCGCCTTGCTGGGCTGACTGGAACACCGCCTACCTTGCCCTACCACAGGCTATCACGGTGCACTACCTGACGCAGACTACTTACGCTGAAGAGCCTTGCCGAACTTGTCGCAGGTTCCCTCCCCGGTGACGCAGTCAACGTAGAACTTGACGGTGGTGGGGTTCTGCATGTTGGTGAAGAGATCAGAGAGAGGCAGGGCGGTGAGTGGCTCGCGCAGCGCCTGTATGGCCTCGGGCACCACCAGGGCTTGCTGCTCCTGGGGCTGCTCCAGCTCCTGGGCCACCACCGATGCCACCACCACCACACACACGGTCACCAGTACACGCATCATCTGCACCAACCATGAAACAAAAATACATTAGATATTACAGTATATGAGCGCTGGATCAGTGCTCTTTTGATCACCTGGATCACCTCGTATAAGTGCTCCCTCCAGCACGAGGGAACTGTCAGTTTTTGCTCAAGGTTTTTATATTTTTTAAAAGAGTTGATCTTTGCCAGGCCCTCAAGCTCTCAAGACTCACATCTGACATTTAGACTCGACCAGTTGACCTTGTATGTAACGTCTGTATGACAGTTACATCATAATTCTTCCTCTGACGTGTCATTTTGGCACTCACAATGACGTCAGAGTGCCAGAAACGTGTTATAACGGTAAGCACAAAGTCTCGAGTATTTCTTTACACTATAGAGCGGGATGAAGCGTGGGTGTCTGTCTCTCGCTCATTATGTAATGTGTGTGTTGTGTATATGTCGTCTGCTGCCCTCTGGCGTGCCGTTTGTGTCTACTGCCCCACCTGCAAAGTATTTAATTTATTACTGTGTCTTCTTTTGATAACCACTTAATTTATTACTTAAAAAACAAACTTTTGCAGTGACCGACTATGTGACAAGAGATCAGCATGACTTTAGAAAGGGAAAGTTGCGCCTGACAAACTTGACTGAGTTCTGTGACAAGGTTACTAACATAATACAGGAAAAAAATGTTGGGTAAACTGTGTTTTCCTAGATTGTCTAAATTTGACAATCTAGGCATCTACCTCAAAATTTGACAATCTAGGAAACAGCATTTGACGCTGTTACTCGTGAAGGACTGGTGTACAAGATGGTAAAGCAGACTGTGGTAACTGGGAAAACACAGTACTCGGCAAGGGAGTACCTGAAGAACAGGAAACAAAGAGTCACAATGAGAGAGGAGTATACAAGCTGGAGGAATGTAACAAGTAGGGTCCCACAAGGCTCTGTCTTGGGACTGCTGCTGTTCATAATCAGTGTGAACAAATGTAAAAATGAGGAGGACTGAAGGAATTTACAGGAATATCTTGACAAACTCCAGGAATGGCCAAACAAATGGTTGTTAGAATTCAGTCCGAACAAGTGTAAAGTAATGAAGCTGTGAAAGGGAGAGAGCAGACCAGAAGAGACCAGTACGACTCATCCTCCTAACAAAGCGTCGTATTTTGACGTATACTCTACCTAACGCCAAAAATCGTCGTACTAGAAAATGGCAGCGCCTCGCGAAATTGACATACTGTCTCGTTTTCTGTTTTGGGTCCTCTGGTAGGTTAGGGTAAGGGCACTTTAGTACGACAGTTTCTTGACGTTGGGAAACCTTAGGAGGACGGGCTGTGTAATTACCACACCAGAACACCAATATTAGAGGACTGTGAGTTGTTGGGAGCAAGTGTGTGGTTGGTGTTGAGGGGGTGTAGTCATCTCTCCACCAGACAAGCTTCCAACTGGTACTAAAGGGAGGGTGGAAGTTAACATAAGGGGTGGAAGTTAACATAAGGGGTGGAAGTCAACATAAGGGGTGGAAGTCAACATAAGGGGTGGAAGTCAACATAAGGGGTGGAAGTCAACATAAGGGGTGGAAGTCAACATAAGGGGTGGAAGTCAACACAAGTGATGACAGTCAATAGTAAAATGAGCATGTACCTCATTCCCCCATCAGCTGTTCTTCAGATAATAGCTAACACATATCTACAAGTCACATTCCTGAGACACACAGGTCAACATTCACACACAAACTATCAGCCATTACACGCAGCTCGCAAAAAATAAAGAAACTGACAATGGACTAAACTCAGGAACTGGCAGTTTAGTCCATTGTATAATTACACAAGCAGTAGTGAAGGAAAGTGTGTCGAGCTACACAAAAACAATAGCAATTTTTTTATTTATAAATAAATAAATAAATAAAATATTGAAAACCCGAACGGTAATAATAACAATGAGAAAGAATGTGGAAACGAAATTAGGACAAAAAACATACATGACTCCAATTAAAAGATGGTCAAGACAAGCAAAAAAAACTGTAAATAAAATTTATTGGAAATACCATACAAAGAGAATATGCAAATAGGGGCCCAAAGACCCAGAATGCTGTTTCATGCATCCAAAAAATTCTGGAAGATGATGGGAAAGAGTTCATGCCGTTTTGAAACAGAATACAGATACTTCCACTCTAAACTATGCAAATTTCCAATTAATAAGAGAAAATGCTACGATCTTCAATGGCCAGCATGAGAGGTACACAGCGATATAGACAAAGACCAATGTGGTAATAGGAAATGTATATGTTTATCTCTCAGAATTTTTGGTAATATGTTTATTGTTTGATGTGTGTCTATGTATGTATTAACACGATGTACTGAACGGGGTGAGAATAGCTTGAGCTACCTCATCCCTTTGTGTGTATTTTACCTCAATAAACTTATTTCAATTTCAATGTGGTAATTCTGAAAGTTTTTTAGAGGCAGATAGAAACACTGCAGGAGGAAAGATGAGGAGGGAGAAAGGCACAAGACTGAACTACAATTCGTCATCAAGCACATATTTGCTACACCACATAACTCCAGACAAAAACTCACACCCCACAACACCAGTACTATTACCAAAACTGGACGAACCATTTCCAAAACAGCACACCCTGCTCAGGTAAGATCCATGTACTAATATTGTACACTGCTAACGAGACTAAGCACATCTACTTCTAATAAAGGTAATACGTTTACCTATCTACCAATAGGTAGATGAGTGTCATTAACAAAACCCTTGCACTCGTTCCCACTACTGACATCCATCTACACATAACTAATAACCTGCATGAAAAGAACCACCTACCAGTATTTAAAACGTACCTATATATACTGATATGTATCCACTCATTATTAATAACTAGGATCATTATGCTCATATATCAGTATCTATCCATAATTATATTAGCCCTTTGCTCTATAACACCGACAAGCGCGGGTAACCTTCGTCACAGAGGTCTTATCAAAATCTCACGAATTAATCCCATGTGAGGAAAGAGCGACAACAATTATACACACGGTACCTTGTGAATGAGAGGGATCCAAGAGGCGTCAGCACAAGTCCTACACTGTCTGCTAAAGGCACTGCTTGGCATATATATACAAACATCACCTCACCCTCCGCATTGTGAAACAATTATAGAGCAAAAAAAAAGTGACCATGTACACCGCAAGTCTTCCTGTTGGGACGCGTCAGTGGCCATGGGGTTACCCCTTCAAGCAGTTCTTTCTCTTCTCCCTTGTCCCGTCTAACCCCTTACTGTTCTCTACTGTCTCACCTCTTGCCTGTCATGTTTGCCCTCTGTCCTCAATTCCCGGCCGGGACAGAAATGGTTGTGTACGAATCATTTCGCGTGAAGCCTCTGGTCACCTAGAAGTAAATAGATACCTGGGAGTTAGGTAGCTGTTGTGGGTAGCATCTTGGGGAAGGTCAAACGTTGGCCTGGGGCCTAGGGAGACCTCGATAAGCCAAGCATGTCCCTTACTATTCGATATCCAATAAGGTGAAGATAGAAACACTGGAAAGTCTATTTTAGGACAGTCCAAAAACCTTCGACATCGTTAAGGCTTGACCTTTAATTGGAACGACAAAGGTGTGATGGCAGAAAATCTATTAATGCAAGAGGAGACAGGTGAGAGACGAGAGCACCAGACAGCAGGGCGGCATTAAGTGGTGGTGTACAGCAGAGATCAGTCGCAGGTCCACAAGTGTTCTTCATCCACGTAATTAACTTGACTGAATATATGGCTTCACAAAACTTATGAGAATAACGACAGATCACAGAGCAGGTCTGCAGGAGGACCTGCTCTGAAAAGCTACACATGTGGTCAGACAAATGGCTTCTAGAGTCTAATCCTCACTAGTGTAAAGTGATGAGAATGTGAACAAGAAACGGGAGACAAAAAGATCTATACAACCTGAGAGAAATACAACAACTCACAACCTCTGACGATGAAGATCTATTGGTAGCTGTCGCACAAAGTGTGTCTTAAGAGGAGCCCATAAACAGAATCACGTCAACAGCATATACAAAACTGGCAAATTGAAAAAGTCTTTCGAAATATAAACAAGGCGAAGTTCAGGACTCTGTATTTAAGCCATATAAGGCTAGAATATGAATATGCATCACCTGCGCGGACTCTAAACGTCTTGTAGCAAAAACTAAATCATGTCACGGTCTGAAAGCAAGTCTAGAATGGTACCAGATAGAAAAGAATCGAATTATGAAGTCAATGAACTCTTTAGTAAACAATGTCCCAATAACACGACATCAAATTAGAAGCCCAACCCACAAGTCTGAAAAATATAGGAAGTGGCGAAGTTTCGGTCCGTCCCAGACCATAATCAAGTCGTGACAATGACCCACGATGGATCGAAACGTCGTCACTTCAAAGCGAGGCTAGGCTACAGTCAAGGCTAGGTTACAGTCTAGCCTAGAGTCTGTAGCTAGACTCCTACAGCTCAGGTGAATGGAATGGTAGCCACTTCCTTTATTTTCAGACTTGTGGATTGGGCGTCTAATTTTAAAAAACACGAGGAAAGAGAAGAACCGGTACGATATGGATCACAAGGTACAAAATATATAGAGAAAATGACACGGTGAATTAATGGCCGGATTAGAATTCAAGGCAACAGTATAACACCAACTTATTGAAGGTTGAAAGACGGGAGCAGATAACTGTAGCTTACCCTCTGGAAGCACAATTATATGATAACAACTAGGGGAGTACACACACACGTCTGCACCCACCCACCTACTGGCCTTCAGCCAATAAAGGTGCTCGCAAAAAAAAAAATGTTTTTGTAAGTGTTTCCTGCAGGCTGTATTGTTTGTCACGCAGTGACTCACATGAGTGCCTAGCTGAACAGAATTAGGATTTGTAGTTATTGTTTAGTCTACCTAATGTAGCGTAACGTAACAACGTAACCTAACCTAGCCTAACCAAGCCTAGCTTATTATAACCTAACCTAATTTAGTATATCCTAAGCTAACTTACTATACCCTAACCTAACTTAGTATACCCTAACCTAACTTAGCATTACCTAATCTAACCTGAGTTACCGACATACAGAGCTCCCAGAGCTCTATTTCAGCTCCCAGAGCTGAGAGGTATGAGATACGAGGAAAGACTACGGGAACTAAACCTTACGTCCTTGGAAGACAGAAGAGTTAGGGTAGACATGATCACTATCTACAAATTTTCTCAGAGGAATTGAGAGGGTGGACAAAGACAAACTATTTAGCATGAGCGGAACACGATCAAAGGAACACAAGAGAAGTGTTTATTTCCACGGAAGTATGGATAACAATTTAAAAAATAATAATTATTATTATTATCGCCATAATACTCACAATTTTTAGTCTTATTTTACGTTATGGTTTAGTCCCAAGTCTTTTTCAATCAAGTGACATGCAAACTCCTCCTCAGGCTTTCTTGAAAATTTGTCTTCCATTGTGTCATATGTAACATGACTAGATCCTCGGGATTTAATGTTAATGAGAAATGATAAGCATTTGTGCACGCTCATGTTGGCCTTCTGACTGACGTCTCGGTCCTGTTTACAGGTCCGTGGTGCTGTTGTAGGTTAATGGTGTTGTAAGTCTGGAGCCTGATTTTGATAATTACTTGCATCTGTGTGACCTACTTCATTCCTTTTACCACTGTGTGCAGTGATGTCGTGCATAGGTGTCTTCGTCAACACCTGCTGCTCCCCCACACATCATCAACACATAGAATTCTCCCACACATCATCAACACTTGCTGCTCTCTATCACTTCAGCTGAGGTCGTCTCCGCGAGCATCTTCCTCAGCATCTTACGCCAACAAAGTCAATCGTATTCACGATTATATTCCCTTCATCACACACCTAGATCATTCCCTCCTACCCTTCCCTCCTCTAATTGTGTGACCTAACTTCTGACCAGAATTAACTTCTCGTTTCCTGGAAACGTTTAATTTGTCTTCCAAGCTCCTTAAAGCATAGGTTAGACAAAGATGAACAAGTTTAGGTAGTTGCTAATAATGATTAGCTTGTTGGAACAAGTTAATAGGTACTACTGCCTGGTATGGACCAACAAACAACAGACTTCCTGCAGATGCATGTATTTTTCTTATGTTCTTTGCATTTTTCTACATTCTTATGTGCATTGCATTTTTCTACATTCTTATTTTTTTGCATTTTTTTGTACATAGATTCTAATCTCGTGATATTTTGACGATACAATGCTTTAAAACATGTATATATTCGAAACGTGTACAATTTTCTAAATTACTCAGTTGATGAGAGGCTAGCCTCGCTTTGCCACAAAATTTCGCAGATTTTATAAATTGTTTTATTTATTGCCATTTTAGTGTTTTACTCATTAATATAGAGCCTTCTTTTGTATGGTCAAGGGGACAAGAAAATGAAGAGTAATAAAGTAAAGACCCAACTGTATTTTTTAAGCTTTATTTCTCTACAGTATAACCTGACGACGTTTGTCTCAAGTTGAACTGCTACTCTGAAGAATATACTAGTGTTTATATAATCTTTGAGATTTACGTTAACTTTATAATTCAAATAAACACAAGAAACAGTAATTCCATTGGTTCTTTGGCCTAAGATGTTCCACTGGTTCCTGCCCTAAGATGTTCCACTGGTTCTTAACCTAATAGGAACTTAGATCAAAATGCTTTTACCGGCTCGTTTATCTTGAAGGTATTGGGGTTGTACCCTATAAACAGTGTCGGCACTGGCAGATGGCGGGCGAAGTAGTTCTGCTAAGTTCTTGAAATTTGTAGCATGATAGATGGTAACCAGGTCCAGGTACGACTCAGACATGGCATCAACCAGTTAACATACAATATTCTGTAGGTTAAAATATTGATAGATATCGATGTTCCTTTTGCCAATAACGTACGTCTGGATCCTGTCGGCCTGGTCGTTGAAGTTACAGCGGAGTTCCCTCAAGATGTACTTGAAGCGCTGGATCTGGCACTGCTGACACCCAGAACATAGGTCATTCCCAGACTCGTCTGTCACAAAGTCTGAAATGTGAGAGAGAGAGGTGTGGGTCTGTTTTGGTTCCATTTAAGATATTGGATAGTCTAGGATCACTATAAATTGTTTAATGATAATTACCTTACCTTCTGTTGCATTGAATTAATCTTCATTTATGTTTTATTTACCTGTTTCACGTGTTTGGTTTGTTGTTGGGTTTACAGCCTATTTACCTCTGGCGGGTTATTAAAGTCACCACAAACGTTTACTGACCAACCAACAATTATACTGTAGTCCTGAACATTGTCCAGGACTATACTCGGTGTAGATACACCGAGGGGATGGAATTATCAGGAAAAAGCGGCAATTCATTACGACTATATAACACTTGGAAGGGGTCAGGATAAGGACTGATGGGACGGGGTGAAAGGAATGGTGCCCAACCACTTGGACAGTTGGGGATTGGACGCCGACCTGCATGAAGCGAGACCCTCGCTCTACCGTCCAACCGAGAAGCAGTGTACACTTCTCAATATGTACATATCCCTGTTCAAATACACGTTCTTAAAATACTTCAAATACAAATTTAAGATACGATATCGAAACCACACATCAAAAAATAAAGAAACGCCGACCTTTCAGTCCGTCCTGATCCTTTAGCCAGTATTGTAATGGAAAGAATGACAGAGATAAACAATATTAGGGAAAAGAGAGAGAGAGAGCTAAAAGGTGAAATGACAAAGATAAAAATGAAGAGAAGAACAAGATAATGTATTATATTTTGACGAAAATAATGTTCAACTGAATATTTTTCATTATTTTGAAATATAGTATTGAGTTTTACACATATATAAAACGTTATATGTTTTACTTATCACATACTGAACATTATAATAATAATAAAAATAATAATAATAACAATAATAATAATAATAATATTATTATTATTATTATTATTATTATTATTATTATTATTATTATTATTATTATTATTATTATTATAGGTTTGGGGTACTTACGCTGGAGAGACTTGCCCAGCTTGGTGCAAGCCTTGTTCTCGATGATACAATCAATATACAGCTTAACGTTATTCTCGTTAGCCACGAGGACGCGGATGCCGCCAGAGGTCTCATCTAGGAGAGGGAAGTAGAGCTCCCGCAGGGCCGGATTGATGGCGTTCAGGGCTTGGTTATACTCGTCTTCAGAGCAGTCCAGAGGGTCGGTGCTGTTCTCCTGAGACAACGCTCCCGACACGACCATCAGCAACACTGACATGGACAGCAAGCCATTCATCCTGTGAAGGGAACACAAGTGTTCAGGTGATAATCTTGGTGAAGAATTAATGAACACATTCACAAGGGCCGTGACGAGGATTCGAACCTGCGTCCGGGAGCATCCGAGACACTGCCTTATTCGACTGAGATGTAGTGTTGTGTTATTGGTGAAGAATTAATGAACGAATCCACAAGGGCCGTGACGAGGATTCGAACCTGCGTTCCGGGAGCATCCCAGACACTGCCTTATTCGACTGAGCTGTAGTGTAGTGTTATTGGTGAAGAATGAGTCAACATTATCTGTGAACAGTCGCAGCCTCTCTACATCTATCTGGCAGCAACCTTATACAACGATACGATGTAAGTAGATAAAAGTATTAGACTGGTAGATGATATTATTACAAATGATAGTGTCAGTGGGGCAGTAAATTTAACAACACGTTTGTTTGTTTTTCAAAATAATGTTGTCCCGAGATGGAGTAATTAACGCTAACTTTAAAACTGTCTACAACACCATTAAGAACAATAAGCGTTTGTTTAAAGATAATTTATAAAAGATTGTATAATATATTTAATTCAGATTTTATGCGCACAGAAGACATTATTAGGAAATGTTAACCTATCCAGAGGAACCTCTAAGGCCTATCGTGACCGTGATGCAAAAATTCGAAATTGCCTAGGAAAATCAAGGTACACAAACATTTTGTGCTTGCGCTCGATGAACAACTAGCCCATTAATATATATTTGAAACCTATCATATTAATGTGAGCTGAGGAACTACTTTCCGTACTGTCTTCAAGTTCAAGTACGTTTATCGAGACAAGAAAATACATCTCAAAGGGATAGAGTAGCTAAGGCTATTTCTACCCCCTTCTGTGCTGTCTTAAATATTGACACCTAAACCAATAGCGAACAATTTTTGTGAGCATTAAATGACAGCAATGATTGGAGTGATTAAAATAATTAAGATATTACCTATAGATGCAAAATTACAAGCTAGAAAATCGTTTATGACATATATTTCACCAGAGAGCCATCTGAAAGGGCGTTCTTAAACTTGACATGTTACGAATGCTGGTTCTGAAATTGTGAGTTACATTTACATTACATAAAGTTGTGGCTTGTCCCGGGTACCTATTTACTGCTAGGTGAACAGGTGATAGTGAACCTGCCCAACCGTTTCTCTTCCGCCCGGGATTCAAACCTAAGATTCCCTAGTGTGAGTGGAGAACCAACCCATTTCGGTAACCTCTTGGAAGATCAGATGGTAAGTATTGTGACGTTTGCTACACTGTCGCCAGATGGATCACTTTTCGTACCAAAAGGCATTTCGGGACATACCTTGTTAGACAAACTTCGAAGATTCTTTTTACCTGAAGTATATAACTTGACGTTGAAGCTGAAATATGTTGATGGCGGTGAATGCCTGTCGAGTGGGACTCGCTGGAGTGGTAGCAGTCAGGACCAGCAGTACTAGACGCAGGAGTTTAGACAGTGGAGAGGCTGCAAGTGAAGAGAACCAGCTTCCAACCGGTATATATATATGTACCAGCGGTAGTCAGCGCTCATGTGTGACTGGACGCCCGTGGGATAAGATCCGCCTCTTTCTTTGCACTCACCTACAAAAAACAAAACAAAAAAATTCAAGGGCACGTGACTTGCTGAAAAACAGACTCACACAGGAACAAAAACACACACACATGAACACAAACAAGGGGCCACAGGTGGAAACTTCGTACCCAAATGAGCCACAGAGAAATTAGCAAGAATTTGTTCAATGTCAGAGTAGTTAACAAATGGAATGCATTAGGAAGTGATGTGGTGGAGGATGATTCCATACACAGTTTCAAGTGTAAATTTGATAGAGCCCAGTAGGCTCCAGTACACCAGTCGACTGACAGTCGAAAGGCGGGCCCAAGGAGCCAAAGCTCAATCCCTGCAAGCACACCTAGGTCGTGCGAGCTCCAGAATAGATGAATCCGGCTGGGAGGAGTTTCTTGTTGAAGCAAACCCTATACGAAGTTTCAAAAGCAAATCTGATAAAATACATAAATTGAGTTATTGCATTAGCCAACCAATACATGGAAAGGCGGGATTGGGAACCGAGGCTAAAAATACAAGCATACCTAGTTTAGAATACCTAGTATATTTAGTTTAGAATATATACACACACACACAGACAAAGGGAGTCAACCACCCCTCTAAAAGTCATGGTACTCTACCTATCCCAAATAGGGCCGGCGTGGACCCTATAAAAACATTACCTCCGGCCGTGTGTACACTGAATCAAGGCAGGTATTTCTATGTGAAATTAAACACCACCTCTGTTGTATCTTGAAGGCATCCACGGCGCGTATTCTCTCCTACACCCATGAACTACTGATGTTGTAGCAATTGTGAACGCCAATGTCTCAGAATGAAATTTGGCTGGGATGAGAGCATGGTGGAACAGTGGTGCCAGATTGGGCTACAAATAGCCAATTGGGCTACTTTTGAGAGCCCCGCGCTCCCAAATTTTTAATTTCGCTACTTGCTACCTTTTTGGGCTAATTTAAAAGCAAGATGTGCTAATTTGGATTATTAATGTTAAGAATGTACGATTGCGAGTTACATGAAATTAACTAAGCTATAAATAATTGTAATTAATAATAATTGTAAATATTAATTAATACTAAATAATATTATTTAATAAATTAGTCCCAATTCAATGCAGAGTTTTCTTCCAATCACAGAAACTTGTAAATATAAATACAAGATAATAGATAGATCGATAAATAGACAACTTTCAAATATTGCACCAAGTAATGGCGAGAGGAAAAAACTAGACAGTATACATTACATTTGAAATTAATAATGGATGAATGGTAATAAATTGGTGTATGTTTGTATGTATACCAGACAAAGTCTATTTAATGGCAGAATTTAGCCATTTTGTGTAAAAACTTTTATAACTCATATTATTAATTATAACAGTAATCGAAAAAAGTCATAGTTTGTATATACAAGAGATGAGCAGAGAGCCATGAGCTAGAGCGATGTGCTGAGTCCATAAGGAGGCCGAGCTTCCAGAAATACCTTCCTGTGATTGGCTGTTGCGGGGAATACCAACACTCTTTTATGAATACAATTTTAACTAAGAAATAGGTCCTTGTGCACAACAACAAGGTTGTTGTGAAAAAGAACAACAGTTTCTGTTTTGCACCTGACAGAAATCTCCATCTAACTGAATAATTTACTCGAATAAGAGGGCAGAGCCGAGTATCATTACTTGTGTGAGGCAACCCCCCACTGATGACGTCACAAGTCAGGTAGCCAGCCCATGTTTCTGTAACACCCGTTACATCCTGTAGTATTTAATTATTACTTTATTAACACTTTAAATAATTAACACTTCACTTTTTTGGGTAAATTAAAGTTAAAGCAGAATTCCATAAGCAGGACTGGTGGGCTGAACTAAGATGATTTACTAAGTGGATGGCACCTATAGCTGATCCCTTCCTGTGATTGGCTGTTGCGGGGAATGCCAACGCTTATATGAATAAAATGCAAAATAAGAAATACTCCTTTTGCTCAATAACCTTGTTGTTGTTGTACAAAAGAACAACAATTTCTGTTTTATACAAGACAGAAATTTCCATCTAACTGAATAATGTAGACCAATAAGAGGACGGAGGCATTGTATCGCCGATATTATTTGCGTGAGGCAACACCCTCTGGTGACGTCACAAGTCAGGTAGCCAGCCCATGTTTCTGTAACACTCGTTACATCCTGTAGTATTTAATTATCACTATATTAATGCTTTTAAATACTTAACATTTCACTTTTTAGGTAGATTAAAGTTGAAGCAGAATGTTATAAGCAAGGATGGTGTGCTGAATAAAGATGATTTATTAAGTGGATGGAACCTTTAGCTGATCCCTTCCTGTGATTGGCTGTTGTGTGAATGTCAACAAAGAGTTTCTACCAATGATATGCCATTTATTACGCACCCCATACCATCTGTGGGCGGAGCTTGGAACCTCCTACCCGAGCACAACAACCCGCCTTATGGGTTGCTGTTTGGCTATTTATAGTGCGTTGGAAAAAAACTAGATGGCGTTAGTGGTATTTTGTGGGGTAATTTGTTATAAGTGTAATTTGATGTCAACAGATGGCGTAAGCTGTATCTTATGGCCACTGTTGACCAGCCAGTTGATAGTGTTCTCTTCTGCCGACAGATGGCATCAGCTGTTATTATTGCTTCCAAATTCCCTTTAAACACTGATCTACAAATCCCTTGACTTATGATAAGATTTTATACCATTTATGATAAGTATTAGATAACTGGAGTTCCGCAATTACTTTTATTTATCAACTGTTCAGGATATCATCATATAATGTCTGGTTAGGACATTATATGTTATATATTACATACATTATATATATTACATTATTGCTCTCGATTGATGAAGATTAAGCCACCCAAGAGGTGGCACGGGCATGAATAGCCCGTAAATACTGCTCTCGTAATATTATTCAGGGGGGTGGGGGAACTATCAAGTGAAAGCGCCAAGCCATTACGACTATATAGCACTGGGAAGGGGTCAGGATACGGATTTGGGATGGAACGGGAGAAAGGAATTTTGCCCAACCTCTTGGGCGGTCAGGGATTGAACGCGGACCTGTAGGAAACGAGACCGTCGCTCTACCGTCCAGCCCAAGTGGTTAAGCGAAATATTATTAAAACAACAATTTATGCATCTAATAACAGCATTCACACTAAAAATACTTGGATATATTGAAATTTGGTAGTGAATTCCAATCTAGGAATCTCCTATGACTAAACTGTACTTTTTAATTATTTTTATGTACTTACTACTAATTATTAAATTATTAATTACTATAATAATTAAATGAATTATTTTATTTAATATTTAAATTAAATTATAAAATAATAGGTAATAATAAATCATTGTGTAGGGGGACAGGCAGCCAGTGTATATATGTACATGTTAGGCTTATACCAAGGTGCCACAAAGGTGCCACAAAGGTGCCAAATTAAAGACTGGGAGCTGCCGGGGCGGGCCCAAGGGCTGCTGGCGGCCCTGATGGCCAGGCTGAACTTCCGCGCCCTTATAATTACCATTGATAATGAGACAAATGTATGTGAATGCATGTGTGTGTATATATGTATGTATATGTGTGTGTGTATGTATATGTATGGGTATAAAGTATATATGGAAGCTGATCAGAATTACATTTCACCTTTGTGAATGTACATTAATGACACTATGTAAAAGACACATCTAATACTTTATGTAGGGCAGACGTAAATCTGTGTATCTATGTATTTACGTATGTAGGTTAGCTTAGCATTTTAAAAGCACCGAATCACCTTATGTGGTTGAGTGTTCAATAAACCCTTGAACTATATGTTTAACACTTCTCTAACCCTGTCCATGGAGGACAGAAGAAAATGTATATATGCTGGTTAGCATTGTAAATGTCTGGCCACGTCTGTGGTAGAAAATAATAATAATAAAAAAGAAACATTGTTTAATAATCTTCACAGGGAGAAACAACTGTAAATATAGGAATACTTTATTACAACATACACAGTAAAGAAAACAGCTCGGAAACTAAGGAAATAAAGCTGCCTAAAAAACATTGAAGTCCACTTCAAGTTCATGTTTATTGTCTGTTCGTTCATGCTAGGCTTGCAGTTACACAACTGGTCGGGGTCCGCTTACACAACTGGTCGGGGTTCGCTTACAGAACTGGTCGGGGTTCGCTTACAGAACTGGTCGGGGTTCGCTTACAGAACTGGTCGGGGTTCGCTTACACAACTGGTCGGGGTTCGCTTACAGAACTGGTCGGGGTTCGCTTACAGAACTGGTCGGGGTTCGGGGTGCACAACAAACCACCACTCACTGATTGAATAGGAGATGCTTAATAAACTATCCACCTCTGGTGGCAAAAAATCAATACATATATATAAATATATATATATATATATATATATATATATATATATATATATATATATATATATATATATATATATATAATGTGTGTGTGTGTATGTGCAGAAATAATATTAATAAAACAATTAACATCGTGTAGTGTACTCTATATATCAAAATATATTACTTTGAAACCCCATATCATTCACTAAAAAAAATTGGGCTACTCTTATTACAAATTTGCTACTTTTAGAGCGTCAGCTCGCTACTTTCAGCAATTTAGACCTGGCAACCCTGTGGTGGAAGTCGAGGAACATGACAATTGGGAGCGTGTTGATGACACCGCTCCAAGCTATCAGGTAGGAGACTCCTCCGGAGGCCCCACCCTCGAAGCCATCCCTGTACTCTGTCCCTGCCAGTCAACGTCCTGTGACATGGGATCTGAGGCGTGGTCAACACAAAAAGACACGCCCTGACACGGAGGACACGGCTTGGGACATGGAGCAAAGGCCCTGACACGGAAGTCACCGTCCTAGCACGGAGGACATCACCCTAATATAGAAGACACTGCCCCAACATGAGCGATAGTCTCAAACTTAAAGAAACTTAGTAGTGCCTAATGTTTCAATGTAGTCAACTCATCTTCCAGGCCAAGCTACAAGTCAAGCAGTGACTTACGATGATTTTGCCAACTCTGGATTTGACTTATACAGTAGACAACCAACTGACGGGATGAATCTTTCACACGGTATAATAATAAACGTTTTTCCCCAAATATAAGTTAATATTGTTATATATTATGGGATTATGCATAAGTTAGCCCAAGGTAAGGTTAGGTAAGATGTTTTGTTTAGGTTGATTTTGGGATTGTTTCAACCCGTCCTCAGGTTATATTCATTCCATCCAGTGTCGAACCTCATTGTAGCCTGTCCTCAACAACGAAGGCCAAATGCTCGTTAATGCAGCTGCCAAACCTATTTATTAAGAAAAAACGGTTTACACATGACTCACAACTGATGACGTTCGAACACTTCCAGAACAAGTGCTTCACTGACGACTTTTGTTCGAACCACAACGCTGTAAATGCGTCACCCACGTACTACAAATACAAATAATCGCCAATAGAACCTAAATCCCTAACCTAACCAATGCTTAAATATGCACAATATGCTATATAATAATAATATTAATTTATATTTGAGAAAATTTATGTTTTGAATGAACAACATGTTCAAATCAATCCGTTCTCACACTAGGCTAGTTAAAGCAATGGGTGTCCTCCCCAGACGCAATCATCAATGTTAACATATTGTGTATTAAAAATTGTTTTGTTCTCATGTAAATTAATATTATTATACAAAAAATCTATGTGTAGTTAGGAGTAGGTTAGGTTAGGTGTTTAGGTTCTGTTGATGATTATTTGTATTTGAAGTACGCGGGAGAAGCATTTATTGAATTGTGGTTCGAACAGAACAGAGGACGTGAGCGAAGCACTTGTTCCGGAAGTGTCTGAAAGTCATCAGTTGTGAGACGTGTGCAAACCGCTTTTCATTCATAAACAGGGGGGGTTTGGAGTCTGGATTAACGAGCTTGGAGCTTTGTATGCGAGGACGGGCTAGTTAAAATTTATTAATGCGTCTTTGGAGTCGACCGCTGAATGGAATGGACTTGGTCTGAAGACGGGTTGAATGTTTGCCTTCATTTCATTGTGTCATTCAGTCCATCCTTATTAACAAAGATCAAATGCTTCAAATGCTCGTTAATCCAGCCGCCAAACCCCTTATTTATGAATGAAAAACAGTTTACACACGACTCACAACTGATATATATGTACTTTGCTGGAGCAGCTTAGCTGACGTCCTCTGCTCGAACCGCAACTCTGTAAATGCTTCACCCACGTACTACAATCGCCAACAGAACCTAAACATCTAACCTAACTATATATTGAATTTTAGTGAATGATAATATTAATGTATATATGAGAACAAATCTATTTGTATTACACGGTATGGTAAAATTGATGAATGTCTCAAGAGTACGGCACTGCTCTTGGAGCCTAGCCTGAGGACGGGTCCCGTCTTTGTAAACAGTGGGCAAAAGGTCGTCAATGGAGCTGCATCTTCTCTCCCTTGTGTGTGAGTACTGAGTGGTGGAGGGCACTGCGGCGTGGTGTGCCACAAACCCCTGGGCTGGCACGTCAACAGTGGTGTCAAGAAGAGTGTGAAGAGTGCATATAGAGGATGGACGACGGAGCTATGGCGTCATGTTGAACCAGGTGAGTCAGTAGTCAACAATGGCCACTTTCTATAGTTCAGCGGCCGCTCTCATCTTTAGGAATAACTCCTTAACACCCTAACCCTCCTAGGCCAAACTCTTTACATAAAGCTACAGTATATATAGCTACAGATACATTGATTTATATATGTGGATATACTGCTTTTGATTACATAGTAATATGACTTGAGAATGGTCCAGGACGGACCGAAACGTCGTCGTCGTCCCTTCACTTTCTAGTAGTCTGGTCAACATAGTAGTAATACATTAACAAATATGGCTTTGGTGCTTTTATTTTTTACGTTTTTACGGAGTAATTAGTATCTGCTCCAATCGGTTAAGGTGGGAAGCCTAGGTGTTGACGCTTTATGCTTAGGCTAATCCAATGTATATTTTTACGGAAGGGGAATTGATGTAGTGAGCTGAGTAAGAAGACAGGTTGAGTTGAGAGTGGACAAGTTAGATCACTCGAGGTGGTATAGAGAACAGGGGCACAGCCTCTGTGTCGGTGGAAAGTTGTATATAACTTTTATTAATTTATTATTGCAAAATAAATCGGATAGTACTGTTGATATTATAGATTTCTTGGCCAGAAGTGGTGCTTGAGGCAGAGCATTCTGTCCTGCCACACCTCAAGCAGGACATCTATCTTGAGGTTATCTTAAGATGATTTCGGGGCTTAGCGTCCCCGCGGCCCGGTCCTCGACCAGGCCTCCTAGCTTTTTGTTACACATCCCCAGGAAGCAGCCCGTAGCAGCTGTCTAACTCCCATTAATTCAACTAACATTAAATGGTCCTTTTGGGGGCTTGTCTAAAAAGAATTATAAGCGGTAAATAGGCTACTTCGCTTAGTCTGTGAAGTAAGTTTATTTGGTTAGTATGTGCTCTTTCAGCAAAAGTAAAAATGAATATTAATTTCGAAATATATAATATATATACTGTATATTTTACTGTACGAATGCATGTATGTGATATAAACTGCGTTAAAAAAAAATAATTTTAGAAACATTTACCACGAAATGGCGTTCATCACATTAGTGATATTTGACAAATAATTCTCCAAGGTATATTTTGTATATTTTCTGAAAAAAATATAAAATATTGTGATTTAGGTTGAATCAAAAGTTAGGCTTAAGACTTCAGTAATAAATTTGGTAAGTACTAGAATTTGGTAATTTGCGTATTTTGGTTATTATAATACATAATAATTATATGTAATATAATATATATACTGTATATTATTATATTAGTATGTTTTGGTAGCAGTCTTTCTTGTAAACATATGTTGTTGAATATGACCAAAAGGGTAAGATTAATGATTCGAACACGAATCTTCTCATTATTTCTTATGTTTTTCTTCACTGTCGATGATAATTGAAAAATTAGCTCTCCAAAGTTCATTTTCACACTTTATTATGGTCTGACGCCTAGAAGCGTTTCGCAAGACACTTCCTACATTTTCAAAGACAATTTTTACATACATTCTGTTAATGCTTATATTCGTTTTTGGGGCGAGGTGGGTAAATTTCATACTCATGACACGAATCAATGGGTAAATTTCATACTCAGGACACGGATCAATGGGTACATTTCATACTCAGGACACGAATCAATGGGTACATTTCATACTCAGGACATTAACTAATGGGTATGATGCGTGTTCTTATCTTCTTGCTTCTGTGTTAGTTCGGGGTCTTCAAGTGGTCTTTTTGAACATCCTAACGTAATCAGAAACTGCATGTACATAAGGAGCTCATCTAACCGAACCTCCCGATGCGTAGAAAACTAGAAATTTTGTGAGGCGCTGTTTTTCATAGTGCGTCGCAGTTGGCCCGTTGGTCACTATAAGGTGCCGTGATGTGTTAGTGGAGAGGACGGGTTGCGCGGATTGTATCGCCCGTATTGCTTCTACTGTCTGGTAGATACAGGTGGAGCTATTGTCTACCAGACGGTGCTGGAGCAAGTTGCTTCCAAAGTGTGCAAAGGTTAAACTGTGCAAGTTGTAAAAATGATGGCAGCGTTGCCTATTCTCCAATTTTTGTAAATCTTTTATAGGTAAATAAGTATAACATTCAGTTTTTTTTAAAGATCTTGTTCTGTACTACTGAAACACTTGTCCACTAAGAATTGTAATGTATAATTGCCTTGTAACACTTATGTATATGTAATTTATATTGTATTTTTTTAAATAAAGGAAAAAAACTTATGAACCCATCGCTGCCTTGTGTGGCAGTGCACAATAGAAAGTTATTTTCACATATTCATACATTAAAACATTGATTGTAACCATGATATACATGTGCTTCAGCCTGCAGTTTAGACTTATTGTCTTGTGTATGACCCTCTGTCCTGCGTGACAGTGAATACCAGCATTATCCTCACTCTAATAAGACTTAATTGAAATCCTCAGATTAGACAAAATTGTAATTAATTTTGTCCGTTGTCACGACGTAACGTGGTGTGACGACCACACAGTAACCACCGCCTCTTGTGACCACTTTCACCACCTCCACAGCTGCGTTACACCTGCGTCAGGTGTGTGGGGGGGGAGGGGGATGACTCCCACCTGATCTAGCCTAGGGATAAGCTTCAGCAGAAAGCCTATCTTTCTACTTGTGTCTCTCTCACTCGGCCACCGACCAAAGCCTCAAACACAACCCTTCTTAATCACACTGTCATCCCTCGCCTCCATCTGCCTCAAGCAAAACTATATCGAATGCTCTTTCTTGCATGTGAATCTGCCTTGTATAAATATCCAGGTTTTATATTCAAGATTTAATTACTCTTATCCCATACACAAACGGGCGATAACCTGTATTTGTCTAAATTCAGAATCGTACAGCGTTTCTGCCGTCTTGCTGACAGGCGTGCATTGTAACTAAATTTGCCTCGAGGGAAAATATCACGATACATGCGCAACTACTATTCCAGGGTTGTGAGCAGGTCCCAGGCTGTGTATACCCCCGTGGGACACTGTAAACCTGGACCAGAACCCCTGTGGTGTCCATATGCAGGCGACGAGTCACAATAACGTGGCTGAAGTATGTTGACCAGACCACACACTAGAAGGTGAAGGACCATTCCTGGTCCTGGACCATTCTCAAGTCGATTGTGAACGGACTGAAACGTCGTCGTCCCTTCACCTTCTAGTGTGTGATCTGGTCAACACCTGCGGTGGTCGCTCGCTCGCTGGTCGACACGTGGTTTACGGGCTATTCATGCCCGTGCCATCTCCTGGTTGGCTTAATCTTAATCAATTAATTATCGACACGTGGTACCTGTCCTTTGCCCCTCGTCAACAATGTAACTAGCGTCTCTTCCTGACTGCTTATCTCATTATCATATATTTATCCTTACACAATAAACTTGTTGCCTAGTTTCACGCTCTAAATTTTGGAGTGTCGGCATGTTTGACTGCTTATCAAATGTGTCTATATATATAACAGTGGAACTCTAAACGGGAGTTATATTTGCATTTATCTAACAGTGGATGGGGGTACCCGAGCCGGCGATGCCCGGGTCTTCTCCACACATATCCTCCCAATCTTTCCCTAACCTGTTTCTTCTCACACACACACACACACACACACACACACATACACACACACACACACACACACACACACACACACACACACACACACACACACACACACACACACACACACACACCACCTCTTTCCCCCATCTCTGTAACAATCTCCAATAATCACCGTCTTCATCTCTAACATCTTTACACCGTATACATTTTCCAGCCACACACACACCCCCATGTTTTCAACTCAACCCCAAATGCCCCACCCAAAAAACTCAATTTTTTTTTATAATATATACTCCCTGTCTCCTCTCAGCGCACACGTCATTCCTACATCTCTTCCCTCCCTACCCAGCGACGGTCTTGCTTAATGCAAGTCGGCGTTCAATCCCCGACCGTCCAGTTGGTTGGGCACCATTCCTTCCCCCCCTTCCCCCCCTGTCCCACCCCAAATCCTTATCCTGACCCCTTCTCCAGTGCTATATAATATTATTTCAATTAAAGCTTAAAAGTCTTGGCACTGAACATTTGACATGCACAGACTTTGTGAAAAGGAGGAAGGTACTATAGTCGTGTCCCTCCCTTCACGGGGGTCTCTGGGGTCGACCCTGACCCCTTCCTGGGACACTCCCGATACAATAACAATTAATCCTGTTAGAGTTTAATGAAGCTATAGCTCCGGGCGTCTCGCCAGCGACCTCGCACAATCTCCTTTACAGATAAAACAATATTTAACCTTTCAGTTTTTCAATTGACTCTTGCAGTGTCTGCTAACTTTGCTGTGTCTGATCTGTCTTGACGGGTTTCTAAATGTCTTCGTGGCTTTCTAGACGTAGTGACGGTTTTCAGTATTTTGACGGTTTTCTAGTGTCTTCAAGGTTCTGTAAGGTCTTGAAGGTTTCCTGGACGTCTAGACGGTTCTGTAAATATCTTGGCAATAGTGACGGTGCGCGCGCACACGAAGGGACCTTTATACCGTGTGAACAAAAACACGGTTCCATGATCTACAAGGTGAAGGTACGGGTCCGCGGGGACTACTCATTCACTAAGAGTGAACTCCTGCGGGTTGTCAACACCACCACCATCACGACACCCATCCATATTCATCAAGAGGGCAACGTGGCGGTTGTTCTCTATTCTCAGGATGAGGATCCCGAACAAGCTGTTCTCTTCTACAAACCAGGCTACGTCACCCATTACTGATGTGCCATCTGAGGCGCGTGCGGACGTAATGGCAGTAAAACCAAGGCAGCTTGGAGCCAGCTGGCAGCTAGGAAAGCCCATCTTACAGGCGTAGGCACCCTGGCTACTATACCAAGGCGAGCCGAAGAGAAGGAGCCCCACTTCCACCGACACGAGCGCCTCGGTCGACATTACCGGCTAACCTGCCACTCCACCAATACCCCTTCCCCAGGGGCCAGAAAGAGGTGCCCACACCGCAGACTGGCCAAGGAGGAGAGCGTCTACGACTCCGCCTGATTCAACGAAGTGTGGACGAGACAGCAGCGCGAAGGGCAAGAACATCAACATGTACGTCCCGTGGAGACACGTTGAGAGGTTGTGCGACCTCGGCACCCTCTTGAGAAGAACACGCCATTCAGCCATACAGTAACAGAAGCAAGTTCAAAGTCAAGGTGGTTGGGCCACCGCTCTTTATATCTCCAGTCTCAGCCCCGTCTCCCACTCCTAGCTCAAGTTTTTAGCATCCTCGTCCCATCCTTCTATACCCTGCTGGCCAGCCCTATGGTCTTTGAAAACAAAACGCAACAACAACAAAATACTTGACACATACCAGCATTACATCACATTCAACGAGAATAACCTAAACTTCATTCATAATCCATCACCTTCAGTTCTCACTACTCTGCGAGTCTTTATTGTAAACATAAACACACGACTATAAAATGACTGGAACAGCCTGAGTCATAAGAACATAGGTCTTATGGTCTATCAATGAATCATAGAACATTAGGAAGAACCCGCATGACCGTTGACCTATATGAAGCAGCCACTGTTTATAGCCGCCCAAACGCGTTCGTAACGTCTGATCTACGCTAAACAAAAACCTATTGATCCCATGTTTCTTACTGCCTGCGGTAATTTGTTTCATAAATCAACAACCCTATTTCCAAACCAGTATTAACCCAAGTCTGTTCTAAATCCAATTAATACCCGTTCTCTAATGTCCTATTTTGTATGATATACGGATAGCATGCATCACGAAAAGCGAGGGGGAGGTACGATAATTGAGGCGAGAGTGTACGATCACCAGGAGAGGCTGGTGGGTAGGTAGGAGAATGAGGGTCGAGGGGTGGGTTGTGAGAGATGAGGGGTAGGGGGTGGGTTGTAAGGGGTGGGGGTTGTGATAGACGAGGGGAGAGGGGAGGTTGTATTAATAATAATATTACATTGTCATTTGTTTTTACTACTACCTATTTTCTTGTGACGGGAGCAGGAAAATAAGTGTATTGAATAAAAGGCCAGTCTGCATTTTGTCTTTATTGCTCTATATTAAGTTGATATTGACTTTTATCCAAGTGAAACACATACCCTGGAGAAGTATTATATAGGCACCAGGTCCTTGGTGTTCCAGTTGGCCACCAGGTCCTTGGTGTTCCAGTTGGCCACCAGGTCCTTGGTGTTCCAGTTGGCCACCAGGTCCACAATGTTCCAGTTGGCCACCAGGTCCACAATGTTCCAGTTGGCCACCAGGTCCACAATGTTCCAGTTGGCCACCAGGTCCAGTTCAGGGTCCGTCATTAAAGCTGCTAACTAACATGTTGGATCCACGCTAAAATACTGATAGATATCGATCTTTCTTGTTTCTGTGACGAAGGTCTGGATCCTGTTGGCTTGGGCAGGATACTTGCAGCGGAGTTCTGTCAGGATGAACTGGAAGCGCGTCCTCTGGCAAGGCTGGCACCCGGCGCACAGATCAGTGCCTGATTGGTTGGTGATGAAGTCTGTCGGAGGAAGGTAGAACTCAGTGAGAAGGAGAACTCAGTAAGGCATGATAGGAGAGGGAGACACCCAATAGAATTGTCACCATAGTGAGAATTTCTCGTCTCAAGAGATGCTTGAGATGAGAATAAGTAATCACCTCGCAGCATCATGATCTTGGGAAAGGTAGGAGGGAAGGGGGTGATTACAAGGGGGAATATAGATGCATTGCTAGACGTGAAATGCTTGACTTGAGAATTGTAAAAACTTGTTTGAGAGATATTTTAAAGGTCTAGCGAAGCCTAGCACGATAAAGGAGTCTGCAGGAGAACAAGATCAGCTAAATATATATATAAACCTGTCACCAAATCACCAAATTATATAGAGAGATCGAGTTCAGTATGACATTGAATATGTCCGCTAATCTTGTGTTTAAGGAAGATTAGAATGTTACTTTAACAGGAAGGGAAGACTGATCTTAGTGAATGTGAGAGGTAAGAGAGCTTTACTAACCTGGGGGTGTATAGTGAGTCAAAGAGTGTATAACGTAGCTAAATATGTCTCCAACCCCTCCTCCCCCCCCCACACACACTTCTGTAATGTTTGTATTAGTATTACATACGTGTGTGGGGGGAGGGGGGGTTGTGAGACAGTGTCACATGCTTTCATACAACTGTACTGGAGCGACTGTTATACACTGGAGCGACTGTTATACACTGGAGCGACTGTTATACACTGGAGCGACTGTTATACACTGGAGCGACTGTTATACACTGGAGCGACTGTTATACACTGGAGCAACTTATACACTGCACTGGAGCAACTTATACACTTACACTGGAGCGACTTTCCCAGCTTGGTACAAGCCTTGTTCTCGATGATACAGTCAATGTGTTGAGTGACATCGTTCTCGTTGGTCATGACGGTACGGATGTTGCCAGAGGACTCGTCGAGGAGCGGCAGGTACAGGTCCTGGAGGCCGGTGCTGACGGAGCTCTTGGCCGCGGCCACCTCCTCCGGGGTACAGTCAAGAGAGTCTCCCTGGCCGTGGACGCCACACACGACCACCACCACTGACGCCAGCATCACCCACCCGTTCATCCTGTCAAAGGGGAAACATTACGTTGATATGTGGTGAAGAACACTATTGCTGGAACAAATCCTCAAGGGCCGTGACGAGGATTCGAACCTGCGTCCGGGTCTGAGCGGAGCGGTGTGTGACTATTGCTGGGTCTGAGCTGGTTTGATACGCGCAGATATATACACATATACATGGTTGAGAGGCGGGACCAAAGAGCCAGAGCTCAACCCCCCAGCAAGCACAACTAGGTGAGTATACAAATGACACTTGTCACCACAGAGCCACTGTGGTGGCTGAGCCACAGAGCCCTTTGTCACCACTGTGTAGTCGTGAGATGCAATGGTATTTCTGTTCTATCGTAGATGTGGCAATTTGTTTACAATGCTAACATATAGCGCATATATATAGTTCCTCTTCTCACCCAGATGGATTTGGCTAGAGATGTGGTCCGCTACATACATGGTTGTGGGGTTAAGTTTGGGCCTCCGAGTGGCGAGTTTATTGGGTAGCGTCACTCATCCTGTGAGTGGACACACCGGTATAGTGACAGTATTGGGCAGCGCCACTCATCCTGTGAGTGGACACACCGCCATAGTGACAGTATTGGGCAGCGCCACTCATCCTGTGAGTGGACACACCGCCATAGTGACAGTATTGGGCAGCGCCACTCATCCTGTGAGTGGACACACCGCCATAGTGACAGTATTGGGCAGCGGCACTCATCCTGTGAGTGGACACACCGGTATAGTGACAGTATTGGGCAGCGCCACTCATCCTGTGAGTGGACACACCGGTATAGTGACAGTATTGGGCAGCGTCACTCATCCTGTGAGTGGACACACCGGTATAGTGACAGTATTGGGCAGCGCCACTCATCCTGTGAGTGGACACACCGCCATAGTGACAGTATTGGGCAGCGCCACTCATCTTGTGAGTGGACACACCGCTACATTGACAGTATTGGGCAGCGCCACTCATCCTGTGAGTGGACACACCGCTACATTGACAGTATTGGGCAGCGTCACTCATCCTGTGAGTGGACACACCAGTATAGTGACAGTATTGGGCAGCGTCACTCATCCTGTGAGTGAACACACCGCCATAGTGACAGTATTGGGCAGCGCCACTCATCCTGTGAGTGGACACACCGCCATAGTGACAGTATTGGGCAGCGCCACTCATCCTGTGAGTGGACACACCGGTATAGTGACAGTATTGGGCAGCGGCACTCATCCTGTGAGTGGACACACCGGTATAGTGACAGTATTGGGCAGCGCCACTCATCCTGTGAGTGGACACATCGGTATAGTGACAGTATTGGGCAGCGCCACTCATCTTGTGAGTGGACACACCGCCATAGTGACAGTATTGGGCAGCGCCACTCATCTTGTGAGTGGACACACCGCCATAGTGACAGTATTGGGCAGCGCCACTCATCTTGTGAGTGGACACACCGCTACATTGACAGTATTGGGCAGCGCCACTCATCCTGTGAGTGGACACACCGCTACATTGACAGTATTGGGCAGCGTCACTCATCCTGTGAGTGGACACACCAGTATAGTGACAGTATTGGGCAGCGTCACTCATCCTGTGAGTGGACACACCGCCATAGTGACAGTATTGGGCAGCGCCACACATCTTGTGAGTGGACACACCGCCATAGTGACAGTATTGGGCAGCGCCACTCATCCTGTGAGTGGACACACCGCCATAGTGACAGTATTGGGCAGCGCCACTCATCCTGTGAGTGGACACACCGCCATAGTGACAGTATTGGGCAGCGCCACACATCTTGTGAGTGGACACACCGCCATAGTAGCATGTACAACACTCCCCAATAGGAAGAAAACCCGCTGGGTTGTTCATCCTGTCACTTGTACCCAGACACAGCTGGGATTTGCTTAACTGTCTCAAGTGAACAGCTCCTCAAACAAGAAGACTAAACAAGATGGGTTATTGAGCACTGGACCATAGAATGTGACTGAACTACTTTTGCAATGGAAAATATAAATTGACTAATATTTATATATGCACTAATTTATTTATTTATGCACTAATTAAATTGCTTAGCTGAACGATAATTGGGGTTCAGTCCCAGAGCCCAATATGTCCCTCTGTGACCTTCCACTACCACCCACAGGATGGGTATGGGGTCCACCACCACCCACAGGATGGGTATGGGGTCCACCACCACCCACAGGATGGGTATGGGGTCCACCACCACTCACAGGATGGGTATGGGGTCCACCACCACTCACAGGATGGGTATGGGGTCCACTACCGCCCACAGGATGGGTATGGGGTCCACCATCACTCACAGGATGGGTATGGGGTCCACCACCACTCACAGGATGGGTATGGGGTCCACCACCACTCACAGGATGGGTATGGGGTCCACTACCGCCCACAGGATGGGTATGGGGTCCACCACCACTCACAGGATGGGTATGGGGTCCACCACCACTCACAGGATGGGTATGGGGTCCACCACCACTCACAGGATGGGTATGGGGTCCACCACCACTCACAGGATGGGTATGGGGTCCACCACCACCCACAGGATGGGTATGGGGTCTACCACCACCCACAGGATGGGTATGGGGTCCACCACCACCCACAGGATGGGTATGGGGTCTACCACCACCCACAGGATGGGTATGGGGTCCACCACCACCCACAGGATGGGTATGGGGTCCACCACCACTCACAGGATGGGTATGGGGTCCACCACCACTCACAGGATGGGTATGGGGTCCACTACCGCCCACAGGATAGGTATGGGGTCCACCACCACTCACAGGATGGGTATGGTGTCCACCACCACTCACAGGATGGGTATGGGGTCCACCACCACTCACAGGATGGGTATGGGGTCCACCACCACTCACAGGTGGGGAGGGGCCACTACCTCAGCCCATCAGTGATGGGGAGTGGCCACTACCTCAGCCCATCAGTGATGGGGAGGGGCCACTACCTCAGCCCATCAGTGATGGGGAGTGGCCACTACCTCAGCCCATCAGTGATGGGGAGGGGCCACTACATCAGCCCATCAGTGATGGGGAGGGGCCACTACCTCAGCCCATCAGTGATGGGGAGGGGCCACTACATCAGCCCATCAGAGATGGGGAGGGGCCACTACATCAGCCCATCAGTGATGGGGAGGGGCCACTACATCAGCCCATCAGTGATGGGGAGGGGCCACTACCTCAGCCCATCAGTGATGGGGAGGGGCCACTACATCAGCCCATCAGTGATGGGGAGGGGCCACTACATCAGCCCATCAGTGATGGGGAGGGCCACTACCTCAGCCCATCAGTGATGGGGAGGGGCCACTACCTCAGCCCATCAGTGATGGGGAGGGGCCACTACATCAGCCCATCAGTGATGGGGAGGGGCCACTACCTCAGCCCATCACCAATATTCACCTAACTACACTTACCTAAAGAGTGTTTGTTAAAAGTTTAAGACTGGAAATGTGTTGAATGAGGGACGCCGAGTGACGGGGTGGGAGTGTCCGGAGCTGAGGAGGAGTGGTGCACACAGCGGGGAACCTGTCAGTGAAGAGAAGCTGTTCTACACGTGTATTTATACCTGTCTGGTACACGCCGCTAGCTCCAACTGGTCGCCCAATGATGGCAAACCGGTCCTCTGTATTGTGCATGCAAGCACGCACACGCACGCACGCGCACGCGCACACACACACACACACACACACACACACACACACACACACACACACACACACACACACACACACACACACACACACACACACACACACACAGGCAATGATGTGGTGGAGGCTGATTCCATACACAGTTTCAAATGTAGATATGATAGAGCCCAATAGGCTCAGGAACCTGTACACCTGTTGATTGACAGTTGAGAGGCGGGACCAAAGAGCCGTTGGGATCGAACCCTCTGTAGAGGGGGGCCGGGTAACACGAACGCCATTAACGTGGTGTTCGGGGGGGCGGGGGGGGGGGAGTCGTGGACGAACACGATGATAGATGGGGTGTGTGTGGGGGTGGTGGAGGGGGGTTGATGTGGGGGTGGAGGGGGGGGGGGGTTAGTATCAGCACCTCCTCCTTGTCGCTTACTCCCCCTCCCCCCCCCCTACCCCCATCCCTGTAGGCGTGGGTAAATCCTAGTTTCCTGTCCTAAAAATCCGGTTCAGGCGTCGCCTTGTGCAGACTATATAGATCTCGATTCTCAAGCAACCACTTCTTACCGAAACACATTTTTGCAAACCATCACCAGATAGTCCAGTGACCATGAGCTGGAGGGCGGCGTGAACTATGCGGCTCTCTTCTGCCGAGAACAATGGTAGACTTAAATTGTCTTGTATTCAGTACTAACATAGCTTCCTAGCGTCCAAGCAGGTCACGGGGTAAACAGGAACGGGTGTAGCCAGCGCCTTCCAGACGAAACTGGAACCTGCGCATCCTTCCAGACGAAGCTGGAACCTGCGCATCCTTCCAGACGAAGCTGGAACCTGCGCCTCCTTCCAGACGAAGCTGGAACCTGCGCCTCCTTCCAGACGAAACTGGAACCTGCGCCTCCTTCCAGACGAAACTGGAACCTGCGCCTCCTTCCAGACGAAGCTGGAACTTGCGCTTCCTTCCAGACGAAGCTGGAACTTGCGCTTCCTTCCAGACGAAGCTGGAACCTGCGCAGCCTTCCAGACGAAGCTGGAACCTGCGCATTCTTCCAGACGAAGCTGGAACCTGCGCCTCCTTCCAGACGATGCTGGAACGTGCTCATCCTTCCCGACAGGTTCCAGAGAGGCACAGCTGAATGTGTGCTACCTGGACCTTCCTTCAGTAAATGATTGTGCGACGAGAGATCACACCAACTACTCGTACGGTCAGTCATTATAGTGCTTGCTTGGCGTGTGTCAGCGGGGACGAACCTATTCTCTGCCCGCCTGTTTCTCCCTCGCAACCACTTGGGCTGGACGGTGGAGCGTCATGCAGGTCGGCGTTCAATCCCCGACCGTCCACAAGTGGTTGGGCACCATTCCTTACCCCCGTCCCATCCTAAATCGTTATCTTGACCCATTTCCAGTGCTAAATAGTCGTAATGGCCTGGCGCTTCCCCTGATAACTCTGTTCCTCCCTCCCAGCATCTGTAGTTGAACAGTTCTCCCTCAGAGAACTGAACAGAACAGAGTTGCCAGAGCAGATTATGCGAGTCTTAGAATTCAGTATTATACAGGTAGGGAATAAGCATAGGAGAAGATAGTTTGATGGTGTGGCAGGCGTAAGGGTCACTGAAGCGGTCAATGTGAGGCCATGCAACCCAACCATCTATAGGTACTTTTTCCATTCGCACTTAATTGTTTCATCTCCCGTAAAGGTGTTCCTTATTCCGACTTGAACGCGGGTATTTATTTCTTCATCCGTGCCCGTTGGCAGGGTTGTTGATCGTCTGTTACTGGTAACACACTGCGTAGTCCCGTGGCCGTCCTCCTAGCACCGTAACCGGCGGTGGGAAACGGCTCTGGCGAGGTTACGTATCGGCCATACACATTTAACACATGGACACTTAATGGAGCGCCGCCCTGCTCCTTATTGTCCAAATTGCGTTGTCCCTCTTACGGTCGTGCATGTCTTTCTTGAATGTCCTGACTTCCAGGACGAGCGTGTGTCTTGCTTTCCGACCGTCCCCCGTGGTCACTTGTCCCTCGATAGAATTCTTGGTGACTCGGATACTTTTAATATCGTTGACCTTATGCGTTTCTGTTCTCATATTGGCATCCTTGGTGATATTTAGCGCCCTCTGATTATTCCGCACATTTGATGGTGCTACATAGCCTTCCCGGCTTGGTGCCTTCCTTTGATAAGGACTGTTCCATCATCTCTCGCCGACTTGTATGACTGTTCGGTTTAGGAATCTTGGCTCATTTGCCATTGGTTTAAGGACAAGTGTGAGTACTTGGAGAAGGACCCACGGTACCGGAAGCAGCGTTGTATCCCAAAGCGTCTCACTGATCACAGATTCCGTAACAGTCTTACATGTTCTGGAGCTAACTAGCTAGTGATAGTTTCAAGAACTCTATTACAGTTTACTTACACCTTTACACTCAAGTTGCATGTATCTACACACACCTAAGTATGTATGTGTCTACATACACTGCCATGCGCCCATCAGAATCGTGTAGTGAGTATTATATTTGATGTAAAGATTTTAGCAAGCATAAAGAGGTTGAAGTGACGTAGGTAGTAGTGGTGACTGCGTAATACTGGGTCACCTGCAGGGTGTCCTCTGGTGGTGGTGGTGGGTTGACACGGTGGGTCCAGTGTTGGTGTGGGAGCCGGTGTTGCAATCCTGGGGGGGGGGTGTTGATGGGGGGATGCAGTATGGGATAGGAACTGCAAGGCCATGTAATTTATGATCTGGATTTACTTTGTCTATTGTGAGTGGCCATCCAACCTCTGTTGAGTGACCAGTAACTCAACCTCTGTTGAGTGACCAGTAACCCAACCCCTCTTGAGTGACCAGTAACCCAACCTCTGAGTGACCAGTAACTCAACCTCTGTTGAGTGACCAGTAACCGCCAAACACAGCCTTCTAGCACTCAAACATAGCTATAACAAACACAACACGGAAAAAAACAAACAAATGCAATCTTTGTATTTGTCAATAACTGTCAAGCTGTCAAGAAATATTGTGTTACCAGGTAGTGTCTCACCTGGCAAACTTAGCCTTGTAAACCTTCAGTAACTTGTGCCCAAAACCGAAACGTTTTGTGTAAGAAAAACGTTCTGTATAGTAGCAAACGTTCACTGACGGACCTAGACGTTCTGGGGTGTGTCAGGTGGGAGGGAGAGAGACCCAGGGGCTGCAGGTGGGAGGGAGAGAGACCCAGGGGCTGCAGGTGGGAGGGAGAGAGACCCAGGGGCTGCAGGTGGGAGGGGAGAGACCCAGGGGGTGCAGGTGGGAGAGAGAGAGACCCCAGGGGCCGGGCAAGGCAACACGCCCTCCAGTCCTCATGATATACAGGAAAAACTAACTGGAACTGTCGACAAAAAACCCGGGCAGGCGGTTGTCCTCGCTAGTGTACTCGCCTAGTTGTGTTCACCTAGTTGTATTCACCTAGTTGTACTCGCCTAGTTATATTCATCTAGTTGTGCTTGCGGGGGCTTAGTGTCCCCGCGGCCCGGTCCTCAACCAGGCCTCCACCCCCAGGAAGCAGCCCGTGACAGCTGACTAACACCCAGGTACCTATTTACTGCTAGGTAACAGGGGCATCAGGGTGAAAGAAACTCTGCCCATTGTTTCTCGCCGGCGCCTGGGATGGAACCCGGGACCACTGGATCACGCGTCCAGTGTTCTGTCCGCTCAGCCACCGGCTAGGGTAGGCCTAGTAAAAGCCGTTTCTAGTTTGTCTACCACAGGAGGGAGTCGTTCGGCCGAGCGGACAGCACGCTGGACTTGTGATCCTGTGGTCCTGGGTTCGATCATAGGCGCCGGCGAGAAACAATGGGCAGAGTTTCTTTCACCCTATGCCCCTGTTACCTAGCAGTAAAATAGGTACCTGGGGGTTAGTCAGCTGTCGCGGGGTGCTTCCTGGGGGTGGAGGCCTGGTCGAGGACCGGGCCGCGGGGACACTAAAGCCCCGAAATCATCTCAAGATAACCATACATAGTGAGTTACTCATTATTCAACACGAGAGCAGGCCTAGTGAAATGCTAGACCTAGTCAAATGGAAACAGTTGTGAAGACAGGCTGGGTGTCGGACAAGGACCATCAAGAGGGCATTGTATCGTGGCCCTTTGTGTAGAAGATCGGCTGGAAACAGCCTGGTCACTCACTGGTGCGGGTCCGAGGCCAGCTTGAGGGCCCCGCGGGCCACTCACAAGGACACTCTGCCTCCTCCAGTCATTATCGCAGAGAAAAAACTATCAGAATAACGCCAATATATATGTGTATTACGGCTATATTTATATATAAGCAAGTGATGCACCTTGATATATTGATGGGGTGCAACACTAGAGTTCCTGATGACTTCTATAACGTCTGACAGACACAGCCAGACTATAGCCGCCGAGACAGTCAACCATAATCGCTAACATGACGACACGGATACAGACAGACTTACGGCTTTGGAACCTTTCCAAGCTGTCAGGATAGGAAATTCCACCGATCCGGGCGTTAGTGGCTTCACCTACAACACAGGCGTGTCACACTAGCTCATGGCGAGCCACATTGTGTTTCTAGGGGATGCGAACCTTTGACAAAGAGGCCAGCCCGTCCTCCAAACAAAGACCCCAAAAGTCCATTCCATGCGCCCGCCAAACCCTCAGCTGTTTATGAATGAAAAACGGTTTACACACGACTCACAACTGCTGACGTTCGAACATATCCGGAACAAGTGCTTCACTGACGAATTTTGTTAGAATCACAACGCTATAAATGCTTCAGCTACGTACTACAAATACAAATAATCGCCAAGAGAACCTTAACACTTAACCTAACCTATGCCTATATATGCACAATATGCTAATATATTATAATATTAATTTACATTTGGGAAAATTCCTGTTTTCAATGAACAGCATGTTAAAATTTATGAATGCGTCTGC